TTTCATTCACAGTATTGCAGATGTACCACATCTCATTAAAAATATGAGAAATGCATTTCTTTCAAGTATTATACCAGAGGAATTTCGCCAGCAGCATGCCTTGCCATCGAGGATAGTATCTTCAGTGTATGTGAAACGACTCTGGTCAAGTGAGATAGAATCAGATGCTGCCCTGAGATCTCTACATCACTTGAACAGAGTTCATCTCTTCCCAACACACTTTTCCTCGATGAATGGGGCATCTGCTGTGCAATTGTTTTCTGTAAAAACAGCTGCTGCTATTGAAAAAGCAGTTATTTTACACCAAGTTGCAAAAGAAGCATTAACTTCTGCATGGTGGCTGAGACTTGTAGCAGAATGGTTTACAATTATGACTGCAAGGCATCCAAAAAAAGGCATCACTATCAAAAATCAAGATGAGAAATTTAATATTTTATTGAAATTCATTCATGTGACTGAAACTGTTCAGTTTGGGAAAGCATGGAAGCCATTTCAAACTGGCATTATTATGAGCACATTGAGTGTTGTGAAACTCTCAAAAGAATTATTTTCCGAGGGGTTTACATTTTTCTTACCAGGCAGGTTGACACAAGATGCGCTGGAAAATGCCTTTTCACAGATTAGACGAAAGTCGGGTGCAAAGCCTACTGCTTTGCAAGCCAAGAGAGCACTGAAATTAGTGTGCCTATCACAGTTCATTTCAGATATCAATAATCCAAATTATTGTTCTGAAAGTGACCACAGCCTCTTTGATGCTTCTGAATTAGAGGTTGCTATCAGAAAGGAGGTCTTGCATCCTATCTCCAATTCTGTAGTGCCATCTACCTCTTCTGCAGTGGCAGTGAAACGTCGCTTGCCCCCAGCTGTGGAAGAAAATGATATACATTACATCGCAGGAGCCATATATAATAAGTTGTTGAAAAAAAAAAAGCATATGTGAAAATTGTAAAACAGCTATGACCATTTCAGAGGACATGCTGGAACCTGACATACCCGAGCATCGCACAATTCTTACAAAACATAGCAATAAAGGTGGACTGAAGGTCATCTCTTCAGGAATGTATCGAATATGTAGGGAAGCTGAACGAGAATTTCAAAAATGTAAAGATGTACTCCTTCGTTTACAATCAGCCATCACAAAAGAATTAGTTGAAAGAATAATTGATAAATGTACGCATGTGGCCATGCCAGAATGCTGTAATCTTAAGAAAGTAATTATTGATAATTTTTTTTATTACTAGATGCAAAGGCCTTACACAGCATCTTATCAACAAAAGAGCCCATAACGTTTCATATTCATCAGCATCGGCCAATAAGAAACAAAAAGTAAAATAATTTTAGAAGGTATGTATGTTTTTATATTAAATAATTTATGTGTTTTATGTAATATGTATTACTTTTTCTACTAGGCTAGTATATATAATTTCTATTGTCTGTGTTTATTTCTGTTTGATGTTATATATGTTATGTTACTTTCTGCTAGGCTATGAGTATATTATTATGGTATTATTTTCTTGTTTCTAATATATAGAAATATAGCATATTTTCCAGTATAAAATTTCAGTTAAGTTTTACTTAAAAGTATGGGAAAGCAGATTTGTTTCATGCATGATCTTTATAATACTGGTATGAAATGAATGAATTTTAATCTGTAAACAATTTTTTGTTAATATTGAAATGTGTTTCTTTGGGTACATTTTTAGGCACTTGTGGATCATGTCAGACAACATGCAATAGAAAAAAGATGTCCGTGTGCATAAATTTTCCCATTGTGTTACTTCATTTTATCTAAATTTCAAGGATAATTCTTTTCATTTTTATATGGCATGTTATCAGTATAAAGGCTAGTGAAAATAAATTGGTATGTGTATCTGTTTTTGAAGTGTAATGCTTAAATAAAAAGATGGTGTGTGTTTCTTCATTTAAATAAAATTTCAAGGATAGTATTTTTCAGCGTTGTACTGTTTGTTATTTCTCAATGTAAAGGGTAACAAGGGGAAAAAAACTGGTATGGTACATCTGTTTTTTAAGCATGATAATTTTATTTATTTCTTTAGTGATGCATATATATATAGAGAGAAAGGTATTTGGTCCAACTGAAGTTATAATAAATCTAATTTTACTAGATCTCTTTCCTCCCCTCAGGTGTAGAAAATTTTCAAATGCAGAAAGTTTATTTTTGCAGAATTAATTCATTTCTGATAAACTTATTATCATTAATTTTTTATATAACATGTTATTAAGTTACACGTTTGACTACTGTGTAATAAACTTGTATTTAGGGCAAAAAATTAACTATTTTTGCAGCTGGTGACTAATATCATATGCTTCTAAGAATATTACTTTTAACTTTTTTCATAATTTTTTTTTGTATTTCAGGAACATGAAACTGTTATTTTGATATACTTAAATAATAAAAGTGTGTATCTGAATCAATTAATGGATACAAATATTTTACAGTTATTTTTAGAAGATATTTGCCATATCGCTTCTAATAATTCATAAAGTATGTTAAAAATATAGGTAAATAATTTGGTGCAGAATTCAAATTTAGGGTTTGAAATATAGTGAATCATGAGACTAAATGATTTTTATTGTCATGATTTGCCTGGGCTTAAGAATGTACTTTTCGCCCGGTGGAAATTGTCATCAAACTGTCCTGAACAGGCTTTTTTGTTGATAATAACTTCCAGGCTTATCAGTACCTCCTTTTTGAGTGGAGGGTATACAAATATAGTACCCAATTTAAATTACATTGTGATTGTAATAATATTGTGGTATTAAATAAGTGATTATAATTACAATTTAGATAATTGCATTGTAATTATATTACATTGTATCTGTGAACTCTTAATTTCATTACTTTATGCAATTATGTTGTAAGTGCATAATCTAATTGCAATAATATAATCTATTCACAATTACAAAATAATTATAAATGCAGTTACATCTTAAATAGAGGCCATTTTAATACTTTTAAATTTTTGCAAGATAACTTCCCATTAAGGTTCATTTGGAGGAAACTATGCAAATACTAAAAAAGAAATTATGCTAAATTTACATATTTTGTACAGTAGTTTCTTGTTATAATGCTGTTCAATATATCTTCAATACTTTTGTAAATTTAACGACATTCTTTGCAATCACTGTGGTGCTTTAAAAAGAAGTTTCTTAGTTATGCTTTCTAATAAGAATGTGTTAAAAATTAAGTATTATGTATAATAACTAGCAATTAAAAAAAACTTGACTGCATGAAAATGCTGTTGCTGTGTAAAATAAAAAATAAGCTTTCTTTTATGCTTTGAAATGAATTACATGTGGTTAAGTCGTCCTTTTACAATTTAAGAATGTGGTTAACACACATTCTTAAATTGGACAGGTTTTATCTAAATTATTAGTATAAAATATATAAACTATGAATTATTTTGTAACATAACTCAAATTACAAAATTCATTCTATATACGTTCAAATTTATTATCTTTTATGGAATAACTGTTTTTTAATTTAGGTAAAAATTGGATTTTTAGAAGTATTACAAATACAATGCAACACAAAGGTGATCTGATTGGAGAGGAAGGACTTTTTATTACGGTTTCTAGTTCGTATTTATATTACATTTGGTGAAAATCATCCAAAACACAGAATGCTGTACTTTCTTCTTCCATATATGTTATGAAATATTTCACACATTTAAAAGAAAGTGTTTCTTCAGAGTCTTGCACAATTATTTCCATATACCTCAGACTAAAATGACAACATATTCTTAAGTTATTTTTTTAGTATGAATTTACAGTGTTTTTATGGAAATTTTTGTTAAAATGTCATTAAGATAAATTTATTTGCACACTCTACGCTTTAACTATTTCCCCATTTGACACTATTGAAAGTTTTTATTCATATCTTATTTATTTTATTTTAGTCTGCTAACGAAACTGAAACATCTAAAGAATAAGTTATTTTGAATATGTTTACAAAATATACGCGAAATTTTTATTTAAGTGAAAACGTCTATATACTATTCGAGAATTAATTAATTATCCGAAAAGTTTATGTGCGCTGAATGCCGCGCGTCTATAAAATAAATCTTTAAAAAAAAAACAGCAGACATTCAGCCAGCGTGTGCGATAAACGCGCCAAAATTGGTAGCGCGTTCCCTCCCTCGCCAAGAGAGAAAAGTTGGTGATTCAGCCTGGTTTAGAGGAGCCTTAGTTCAGCCTGTAGTCAATAAGCCATTCAAAGAAAGTTTAAAACTACAGTAGAATATGGTGATGTTAGAAGGTGAAGAAATATTTACAAATATTACAAGGAAGCCAAATACATCATGCCAGTTTAAAAATAGTATTTGAGTGGATAATAAAGTTATGAAATGATATTAAACACGGCATAATTCAAAAGCATAAAAAATGTAGCATATTTAATAATCTAGAGGGAACGAAATATAATCATTTACTTATGGGTCAGAGTAACAGTGATGGCAACGATCAAACAGAATTCGACGATGCGCTTATTCGATGCGAAAATATTACGGAAGGTGAATATGATGAACTTTTCATGTTATCCGATAATGAAAATTTTTATCTTCATCAGGTGTGTCATTTCTTTTAACGAAACAGCATTTAGTGCATGAAAAAATCAAATTTTTTGTATTCTTAATGTTTTCTTATTTTTAAATCTAACATTTTTTTATCCAGCGTATAACGCGCACCCGTAAATTTCGATCTTATGTTTTGTATTGTGCCGTTGCTAATATTCCAGAAGCAGTATTTTGCCTGATATCCATTGCTTCTAAATTTACTTCCCAGTAACGTACTTTAATAAGGATAATCTAGACATTAGCTCTTCTTTGACATCATTTATATGGTGTCAGTTAAGTATATTAAAAAAAAAAAAAAAACTGTTGAGCTGAAAGCCCATATGGGGCAAGAATGTAATTGCTAGCCTCAAGGTGCGGAAAATAAATTCAGCACAGGGTTGGAAGAGACTTCCACTTTCACTCTAATGTTTATTATTTGCCTTGCTGATTACATATGTAGATTTTAGTCATACAGTTGTACATCTTCACATTCTTTCTTGAAAATTATTAAACTCTGTCCTGCAAATATGAGAATTTTCGGCAATCTGCAAATTTTGCAACGCGGCTACACAATTGTTAGTTATTCTTTTACAAAAAACATGAATGTTTGTTTTAGTTTTAAATACTTTAAAAATTTACTTTGGTTTATTAATTATTGTTAAGATGCTTGAAATTATATCCAATAATATTCAATTTCACTTTGTAAGAGCAAGTAAAGCAACATTTTTTTTATCGACTGGGTAGATTTAAATTACGAATTGATTTCTTAACAAAAATTTTATGCAAAATTTTACGGAGTGAATATTATTTCCCGGAATATGGACAGGTTTAATATGAAAACCAAAGAACTAGTTACTGTTGTTTTTCAAATAATATGATGTATTTTATTTAATGTTTCGGAGTAACAGTTTCTCATTGCTTTAAAAATAAAATAATGTGATAATCTTATTATACTTTTAAACCACTCTGCTGTGGCTTGTTTTTATCAAAAGCCTTAACTTATATTTTGTGAAACATCTGAATAATTATATGTTTGATTATTTAGCATTTTCATTTTTTTAAACTTTTCAAAAGGTAAATTTTTATTTTATTGTAATTGCTGGCATTAAAGGAAAATTACCCGAGTCCCAGACTCTTTTAAAATTGTATTTTATTCTGATAGTTTCTCACTAAATACTTTTTGTTTGTTTGTTTTGGGTAGTTCTAAATTGTTTTTGTTAATTCTAGTTGGTACATTCTTTTGCTGCTTTGTTTTAACATTTTTTAACTCTGATCAAACTTGCATACTTTTTAAAAGAACAAGTATTTAGTAAAATTCTTTAAGTAGTAGCCTTTCAGAAATTTTTTGTTATTTATTCACACCACACTTGTATTTAAATCTGACAACTTGTGTAAAACCTATGTGTGAGAAGAATTGACATGCACTGAACTACTCTGTGTTTTCTCAGAAAATTCAGTAAGCAGAGATTAAACTCTTTTGAGGTAAATTATTTAGGGGAAATTTGCACCTACTCGAAATGATAGCTGTACTTTTCATTTCCAAAAACTTACGTACCAGCAGCTGAGATAGTTCCTTCTCTAAGAAGGATACAAATTTTAGGTAAAACTTGTTTTAAGCAGCTTTAGTGAGTGGCCTGCAATAAATGATGGCTTCTCTAGTCAAACATAAGGTCTCAGATGCAGCTGCAGTGCAATGCTGATCTCTAAGAAGAGTAAAGTTAAAGAGAAGTTAAAGTTTGGATGTAAAATTATTCCTCATCTGTCAAAATTGGAATTTTGTTCAGGCATGTGAGAATGGAGGTAATTCTCCATGTCTAATGTATGGTTGATAGTATTCAGTTTATTACTTGGTTGCAAGGACTTCTTGAGGAGATTTAGTAATTTATAGGTATTTGAAATTTCGTTAGAGAAACATCAGCAACAGATTGAGGTATCCATTGGCCATCAAGAAAAATATCGAGAATTGTAATTTTATACTTGTGGAAATGATAAGATTATAAAAATTATAGCCATAGATATAAGAAGTTGAGGTTCATTGTCAGATTTCATGCTAGTTGCACTAAGCTGCTGTGCTAAAAGCAGCATTTTGTTATAATCCTCCACTTTAGCAGGTATTTGAATGAATTTCAGATTTGAAAAACAGAAATAGTAATGCGACGTTGCTAAGTGCACTGCATCCTTAAGATAACATGATACTAAATTCTACTGTGTAAAATAATAGTAGCAGTAATTCAAATCCATTGTCCTCAGGAATCCTTTATAATGAAGTCTAACAGAAAGTTCTGTCCAATAATGTTATTTGAAGCTTCAATACGCATGCAGGTTTCACTTGAGACATATATGACTGTTTTTATTTGTCACTGCATTTATGTACATATGCTCATCTGAATTAATTGAAACAAAAGTGCCTCATATCATTATTAAGTGAGACATGATTATGTAAACATGACTATTGATAAAATTCATTTATGACACTGTATTTCATAAGAATTTCAACAAGGAATAGTATGAAAACATGCCAAAATTTAGTGAAAGTTTTTCATGAAAATTCAGTTTTGGATAGAATGTCCAGGAGATGTTAAGAAAACTTTGAAGCAGGGGATTTCAACCTTAATGATTATGTAAGCTCTGAGGGGCCATTTTTAATTGTTGACGATATTGTCTAGAGCACGATCCCTTTTTGACAATAACGGAGATTGCGAAAAAGCTTAACTCAGCTCAGCCAACCTTTTTAGATCATATTTGTAAACTATGATAAGTTTTATATATTCCAAATGAATTAAATGAAAAAAATATGATTTAAGCCAAGAAAAATTTGCATAATTGAGTCACCATATGCTCATCTCTGCTTCCTCAGAACAAAAACGAATCCTTCTTGGACCGGATGATAACTGCTGGTGAAAAGTGGATTACCTATGAAAATATTGTTAGGAAAAAGCATGCTGTGAACCCTGACAGCTTGCCACCTGAACCTCTAAACCAAGCTTCAGTCTGAATAGGAGAAAGCTCTGTACAAAAAAACAGTATCAGTAAATGGATTAGTTAACAAAGCCAGTCAAAGAAAAAAAGGCCAGCAATGTTCAATAGAAAGCTCTTCATACTGTATCAGTATAATGCCAGACCACATGATGCTTTGGTGACTTGTCAGAAAATCATTGAGCTAGGCTGAGAAGTTCTACTGCATTTACCATACTCTCCTGACCTAAAATCGTGGGATTATCACTTTCTCTCCATGCAAAAAATTTTTAAAAGAGAAAATGTGAAGACCAGAGCAGACGTCAGCTGAGTATTACTTGAGTTTTCAGCCTCTGATGCAGGACATTTTTCAAAAATGCCATTTACGAATTACCATCATGCTGCCAAGAGGTTGTAAGTAATGACAGAAATTATATTATACAATAAATGCAAAGTGTACTTTTTTCTTTTGTTTCCCAAATAGATATAATTTTCTTGTAGACCTTATATTTAGGCTACATTATAAAACAACTGTAATTTATATAAGTATGTAATATGGTATAGCTTAATTTTGTAGTTTACACTGAGTTCAAACAAAATTGAAAGTTTTGTTGCACTGAATACACAATAGCTGTGTGGCTGAAGCTGCTGACCAGTAATAGTTTGTCCAGGATTCTGCTATCAATGAACAAGGTGGCTGCATGAGGATTTTATGTTTCCCTTTATCTTTAATGTGAATATGAGTCAATTTTCATAAAAAATCGTACATTAAGGCATCATTCTTTTGACAGATAATCTTCAGGTTGCTTTATTTAACTAATCAGTGAGTTATAATTAATACTCTATTATTTACTGAACCATTGCAATTACCGTATTTGATGGCATATAAGATGCACCCTTATTTAGAAGGCCATACACAAGGGAAAAAAGTTTGTCTACCTGTGTCTAGATCTTTATCCGGGTTAAAAATAGCATTCAGTATTGAAAGTTAACCTGTGTCCTTCACGTATAAGACGCAGGTAACTTTTTTGAGATCAAATTTAGGAAAAAAAGTGCGTCTTATATACTGTCAAATACAGTAATTACTGTCATTGAAAAGCATGAATAGAGCACAAAAGCCGAAAGTCGTAATGATGGTGCAGCTGCTCTGTTGATGGTCTCCTGTCTTCTGTCATTGAAAAGCAAATTAGGAAGACTATCATATTTTTTTCGATTATAAGATACATATCTGTTTTTGGAAATGCTGATGCAGGAAAAAAGGGCATTTTATTATTGAAGAAATGCAGTTTATCTTACAGCGTTTAGGATAAATAAGATATGGATTTACAGAAGCTAAATGGAAAAAGATTTTGTAATTTTATTTCTGGTAAAGTGTTTTTAAAAACAAGATTGGTATAATGCTATAATTACTACTTAGTCACTATTAAACTTAATCATAAATCATATTAACTTATTCTTTTGAAAACTTTATTCCCAAACGTGCTCATTAAGTTTCAGAGTACTCTGTATATTACAGGAAACTTTTGAAATGCTTAATTTTAAAGCTTTTCTGGAAATATGAATTGTAACATTCCTGTAATCAAGTTTGCATATTTTGTAATATTTTTTTTAATCGTTTGATATCATTAAAAATTATAAATTAAAGTGAGAAAAGATTTTGGAGATATTAATTGTATATCTAGACATAGCCGGAGCTTTGTTTCTTTCTAACAGATAGTATCAGAATCAAGAATGTTGATAGTGAACTCATGTTAATTAACTGTGTCACATTCATAGGATGAACACTATGCATAGTACCAATACCAGCACATGACTGACACTAGTTATTTTAGCCAACTCCTACATGGCATCAATATAGCCTAGGAGCAACACTGACAACGAGCATTGCGTAATGTAGGCATGGATTATAATTAGAGTAGGCCATAGTCAAAGGGGAAAGAATTTGATTAAATTGTTATTATTTAGGGTACCTATATAGGATCAACAGTGGTATAGAGTCAAAACTAATTTCTGAGCATCCCGCTGATCTTGTGCTGGCAGATATGCTAAATACTGATCATTATTTCTCCCCATACATTCATATCTGTATTGCTATAATGATCCTTTGGATAAAAGTTTATTTCAGGATACTCCTTGACGATTTTTTGGTGCGATTTCTGTTTACATCCAACGCCTTTCCCAGTAAAATGGTGTCCAAATCATAATGCAATAAAACGTAAAAAACAATATATATATACAAGTCCTTACAAAAGAATCTGAAATGTTTCAGATTTTAAATTACGTCCAAAGGGGTGTTTTTTTAATGTTTTGTGTGTTACTTTTATTTATTAAATATCATGTTCTTTGCACTTAAATCATAAAATTGAGTTCAGTAGCAATGTCAAATAATTTTAAAATGAGCATATCTTTAGAATTTCCGATGCACAGTTCTGTGCCCGCTGAAGATAAAAAAGGTTTCTTTTTCCCTCCGTAAAGCCATTGCTTGCTTTTAGATTGCTGAGTTTGTTACTCAAAAATTCATTAAAGTTTTACAAAATATGAAAACCGATAATAAAACAAATTCTAAATTTAAAATTTGGTCTTTTACATGCCCATATTCGTAGGAGGATTACATCATTCAAAATTCGATGGCTCTATGTACCGTTGTTTTATCACAATGCAAGAAATATACATACATTTATGCAGATTTTTCATTATTTAATTTCTTCAAATATAATGCAGGATTCTAACATTTGGTGGCAACAGGTTAAAAAGTGAAACGAACATTTATAGTGATTCAACACAAAATCGCAAAATGAAAAGGGACAAAGCCCCTTTGGACTAATAATCTCAAAAAACTGCATTTAAAATCAAACAATGAAATAACATAAAAAAGGAAATACAGTCAAAAGTCGTTAATTCGGACAACCATAATCCGGAATGATCTATAATCCGTACCTCAAAGCTAAAATCTTTCTGCGCATGCACCGCGTTGACGCATGCACATAGGCATTAACACGTGCGCGCAGGACCTTTACGACTGCACATATGCGTGTGCGCAAGTGCAGAATATGTTTTCGTGTGCGCGTTTAATGTATAACGGATGGTATAAGCTAAAGTTATCTAATTATCTATTTCAGTTAATGTTGATGGTTGCGTTGTTCCTTAATCTTCGAATTATTATTTTTTGCAGACTGTAAGAGCAATTTTATAAAAGTAAGCTTGAACTTTCGATTATGTCAAATAGAATTTCTGATGCTGGAGCTCCCAAAGGATCTACAAAACGAAAGTATGTTTCGATGTCCATCAAACAAAAAGTGGAATTGCTACAAAAAAGGGATAAAGGCATATCCTTTGTTTATCTAACTGTTCCGAAATCTGTTTATCAATTTCATGCTGCTCTGCGAAGGGGGGGGACATTGCGGCGGTCAATGAACTGGAGGTTGATCTGTCAGCACTATCGTTATCTTCAGGGCAGATGCTTATCCGGCTTATAATTCCTTACTAAATGTAGTATTTCATCTCGATGTACTCCGTCTTTGATATGATTTAAATCAAATTCCTCGTCATTATAAATATCACGAATACAAATCAAATAGTTTTGTAGTTGCAATTTTCTAATTTCGGCTATGCGTAATGTATGCTTTACGCATGCGCGCGTTGAAAGAAATGTTCAATAAAGTAAACAAATAAATATTAAGCTTCTTTTTTTGTAAATTTTGATACCCTTTAGATCATAATTGCTCATTATTTTATAAATTACGGTTTCATATTTTTAATTTTATAATTTCTGCATGTCATCTTACCAGATTTAAACTGATGATCTATAATCCGGAAAAATCGATATTTCGGAATTGCCGAAGTCCCGACGAGTCTGGATTAAAGACTTTTGACTGTATATGTTATCTCATCTATGCACAACAAAAAGGAAACATCGACTTAACCTTATTTAGAAATTTCTGTGTCTTCAGTCTGTAGCACACAAATTCCTTAACAGCATCCAAAAACTCTAAAATTATCTGAACTAGAATCTGTATACTGCCATCACCACATAAATTCACAAAAATATCCTCTGTAGTGCCGGACTGTCCGTGGCATTTCTTGGGACAAACCCATTGAAAGCCATCTTAACGATCTTTACATACGATCATATGCATTTCCTTCGTACAAACAAGACTCTTATAATGACTACTAAGAAAACCTTCATTTACACACCAGTCATTTCCCCAAAACTTCAGATTAATGTTATCACATACAGCATTTTACGGTGTAAAGCACAAAATAAGCAACATACTTCCTAACAAACATCCAACACAAAAATAAGGCCTTACAAATATTTTCCCATCAGTCAAATTCACCGCAATCACGCAACCAATCTTGTCATAATAGGGCTTCTGTAACATTCAACTACTCAGCTTACCATAAATGAAACAGCAACTTGGCAATAATCCAAGGGGCACCCTAAAATAACACTAACCATCCTTCCTTAAAATGATGGGAATATTTCATATTTTTCATTCGTAATTCGTAATTCAATATAATTCCTTACTAAATGTAGTATTTCATCTCGATGTACTCCATCTTTGATATGATTTAAATCAAATTCCTCGTCATTATAAATATCACGAATACAAATCAAATAGTTTTGTGGTTGCAATTTTCTAATTTCGGCTATGCGTAATGTATGCTTTACGCATGCATGCGTGCTTAAAATCAGATCCTAAACTGAAACCTCAGCTAATCTCTGGAGAGAACACATGCCCATTCAACCACTGATATTCTTTGCACCATTTCAGGAAGTCGGTGAAATGCATATCATTGGCTTTTTGCCATTTGTTTTCGTAAAATGTTACGTGTACAGTTACCACAATATAAAATTACCAATAGTGTTTGCAATCTGCCCAACAGTAAAATTCTTATTGCAGGTGTTCAAATCAAATCCTGGGTTACTAAAATTTTCGAGGAAACATAGTTTGTATAAAAGTGCTTGCCATACCTTTGAATGATATGTCATGCTGTGTTTTTCAAAAATAGATTGACAATGATAATTAGGTTTTACTTTTGCTTTTTCTATAAAAACTAAATCTGGTTGATTAGTAACTTTATGAAATATTATTTTTATATGTGTAAAGACATCTGCGAATGCTAGTGTATATATCTTTCAGTTTAATGATTTAATTTTCTTTCTTTTAATAGAAAACCCTCTCTCGGCATTATGCTGCCTCATCTGTTGTAAGTTTTTTTATTCATATAACATTAATGCTTTTAAACTAAAAATTGTGTACTAAAATTGTATAATATGTAGTAAATTTTTGCAGCCAACTACTAAACTTTTCATCAATGGACAGTTTGTTGACTCAAAGGCTACAGAATGGATTGATGTACATAATCCAGTAAGTGAGCTTACTTTTCAACATTAACAGTTTTTCTCTTATATTTTCAGTGTAATTTTGCATTTGCTTTTGTGGTACTAAGTTTATTGCAGTTTGCATTACTATTTGGGCTTAAAATACAGTTTTATACATGACATAATTGAAATTATTTTACATTCTTCTCATCAGAAATAATTATGATTCAGTTAAGAGAAAAATAGATAATAGATTGGTATATGTTTAATAAAGCCAAAATTTAAAAAGCTACCTTTTCTAAAAGGTCTTCTTTACTTTTATAGAGAAATGACAAACACGATATTGAATAAATTTATAAAAGTGTTTTCCATATATATTTTAACAATTGCAAATAAACAACAGTATAAGAAAAATTAGAAAAGCCTGAGTTATTATTCATGAATAATTTTTAAACATTAACATTTCCAGTTAATATTTAAATTAACATTTCCCATTTTCCAGTAAAATGAGAGTGCTATTAGCATGAAAAGCTACCCCCCAAAAAAAGCGTATTAATTTTTATTCCATATTTATCATGTCATATATATATTTGATTCTGTAAAATTTTAAAGTAGTTAAATGTCACATTTAATTTTGCTATAAAAAATTTTTCAAAGAACAATTTTTGAACTATACAATATACTAGTCAGTATTGGATTGGTAATCAGTGTTGAGACTTCTGTAATACATTATATTAAATTCATAAGAAATAAACTTTAGCATTTTTGTGATGTCCAATTAGTGAGAAAAATAGCATAAACTTTTTTTTTAATATTTCAAAATAAAATTTTGAGTACTTGTTTTTCAAAATATCTAAGCCATTCCACATGTAATAGCAATTCTTTTTCTTTTTTATAAATTTAATTTGCATAGAAGGGTGGAGAGGCTGCTCTTTGTACTACGAGGGCTATCCAGAAAGTAGATTACGTTTTGGAATAAAAAAATAAACAAAGTATAGGAAACAAATTTTATTATATACAGATGAAAGCCACACTCAAATACTACTTTTCTACATAGTCACCATACAAATTAAGGCATTTATCGTAGCGATGTACAGAGCTTGGAAATTCCTTCGTTGAAAATTCGGCCCGCCTGCGCCTTCAACCACTTCGTTACCTCTTCTTGCAGCTGTGCGTCGTCATCAAAACGCTGCATAGCCAGCCACTTCTTCATTGCTGGGAATAGGTGGAAGTCGCTCGGTGCCAGGTCGGGACTGTACGGCGGATGAGGAAACAACTCCCACTTAAAAGATTCAAGAACTTTACGAGTGACATTTGCCGTGTGGGGCCGGGCGTTGTCGTGAATCAACAAGATCTAGAGCTCAACATTCCTCTGCGCTTGTTTTGAATTGCTCTTCTGAGTTTTTGGAGAGTTTGGCAATACCTTTGAGAGTTTATTGTAGTGCCTCTTTCCAGGAAGTCCACCCAAAATTACACCTTTTCTGTCCCAAAAAACAGTCGCCATCATCTTCCTTGCCGACATTGTTTGCATGCATTTCTTGGGTTTTTGGGGAGAACTTGTGTGCCCCCACTGCATTGATTGCAATTTCGTTTCACAGTTCACATGTTTCACCCATGTTTTGTCACCAGTAACGATGCGATCGAGTAAAGAGTCCACCATCCTTATGGTAAGCGTCCAAAAAGTTCAACGCTGCAGCCATTCGCTGATTTTTGTGGTCCTCTGTCAAGATTTTTGGAATCCATCTTGCACAAAACTTGTGGTGGTAACCAAGCTTTTCGCTGATGATTTCGTGCACAAACTTCGCGAAATTTGTGGAGGAAACTCAAAGAAAGTTCCGTTATTGTGAAATTTCGATTTTCACGGACTTTAGCATCGACTTTTTCGAGAAATTCGGCGGTCACTATGCTGGGTCTCCCACTTCGATCTTCGTCGTGAACATTGGTTCGGCCATTTTGAAATCTTATGACCCACTGACGCACTCCACCTTCAGTGATAATGTTGTCCCCATACACTTCACGAAGCTGCCGATAGATTTCTATCGGTTTACAGTTTTTTGCAGTCAGAAACCTTATTACTGAGCGCACCTCGCAGCTCGCGGGATTTTCAATTAACGCAGACATTTCGAACCGTCACAGTATCTGAATGGAGCACAGCACGAACCTCTCACTAGCACGGCTAGATGCAGACTGAGCTGCGCAACGCTCTGAATCCAAGATGGCCGCGCTAGCCCCGCCCCTAGCGGACACAGACGGAAACGTAATCTACTTCCTGGATGGCCCTCGTAATATATTACTTTTAGTACAATTGTACTTATTTCTTACCCCATTGACTTCTTCTTCTTCTCTCTCTTTCTTTTCTTCTATTGTTATAAAGTAGTATCATTTTTAAAGCTATCAGAATGGCTTTTATTAGGTTTTAATACAATTTTCCAAGTATTAATAATTTCATTTGGTAAAAAGGACTTTCAGTGCTTAATGGTAAATGCATTTAAAAAGTTTAGAAATATTGGCAATTTTTAAATGTTTTAATTTTTTTTAATTATTATTATAATTTATCATGAAAAAAATAACAGAATCTGAACTGCCACAGCCCCAAAAGAAATTAAAATTAGGCAACCTAGAAAAAGAAAATCACTTTATCTGGGATAGATTTTAATTCACCAAACTGAGGTTTTTTTTTTTTTTTTTTTTTTTTTCCCATTCCTAATTTTAAATTCCATGTAGATGCATTTTCCTTCCAGTTAAAAATTTGATGAAAAATGTTTTTTTAGTTGTTTTGATCAGTCATCGTTCGTAAGAAGTAAGATTCTGAAGAGTCAGTATATTACTTGTATGTATTTTAAAGCAGAAAGGAGGCTTACTAGTGATTGAATGGCTAAAGCTATGAAACATTTGTAGCTCCTTTAGGTGCATAACATTCAACAAGATGCAGGAAGAGACAGGGCTTGTGCAAGGAACATTGCAGGCGATTGTGCATGGTGGTTTTGAGATGACAAATGCATGTGCAGAGTGGGTGGACCTCGCGCTTCGAACCAAGATCTCGGACTGAGTCTTGCTTGACAAGATGAAGAACGCAGTCAGAGGCCAATGAATCTTCTGCCAAATTGCATGCAATTGTCCATAGGTGGTGCACAACACCCCCACAGACTGGTTTACCAAAGTCCTTCAGAACTTTTTAGCCAGATGGCAGAAGCGTATTAATGTGGGCAGGGTTTATTTCTAATTGATGTGCTATCAGTTATTTGTTAATAAATTGTATTCCGCTCTGTTTTAGCATTTGTGTCATTCATTTTTGTACAACCTAAATAGTTTCTCTTTGAAAGCTATTGACAAACAACTTTTCTGACCTGTATAGCCCTGATATGCTTTGAAATAATCATTTAAATAAATGAAACTACATAAAGTAATAAACAGGATGTAAGAGTAAGTTTAATATAGTAGTTAGGCATTAACTAAATAATATACATTTAATATAATATACAATAATTAACTGCATAAAATTCTTGAATTTTATTAGTTTTTTTTATTATTATTATTATTTCAGTTATTATAATATATACTTAAATAATACTGATAAACATTTAAAGGCTCTACTCTTATATGCGCCCTAAGATCACCAAATGTGGTGATATGTGTTCTGTGCTGGTCTTTGGTGTGATTCCGTGCTGTGGGATGGTTTGGTGGACGATGTTGTTTGTATGGCAACCCTTTTGATGTTGAAACTTAACTCTTTTGCTGCAGTGGCTTAGTTGCTCATTGGTTCGTAATAGTGCGTTGCAATCAGAATGTTGCAATCAGAGACGTGGTGGCAAGATTTCAGTCGCGTATTTTAGATTATGTGCAAAGTAAATTTAATATTAAAAGGTACGTTGTTGGAGTTGTTAATGAATCTTTTGTTCACGGGTGTGTTTATGTGGATAGAAGTGCATTTTTGGAATTTCTGTGGGAGTCAGGACTTTTAAAACAGAGTTTGGTGTGTCTGAAATGCGAAGCTGATATGAGAATTCAGACGAAGAATGCTATTTCTGATAGACTTGTGTGGGTTTGCAGTTAAATGGTTGCTGGTAAAGTATGTGGCTGTCAGCGGAGTTTAAGATTTGGATCATGGTTTTCGTGTAGTGAGTCAATTTTTGAGGAAGTTTTTATCGTCACTTTCGAAATTTTGAATCGCAGAAAGATGTGATATAGCAAAATTGTGGCACTTTTGTTCACAGACGTTGTATAACTGTTATTTTATTATTATAATTTTATTCACGTATGTATTATGGTAAGTGCATTTTATTTTATTGTTTTTATTTTGTAGAATGTTATGCTCATTGTTTTTTTACTATGAATTTCTGTTGTTTAGTATTTTAGTTTAGTTATTTTGTTGATTTGTGCGCAATGCCTAGATTGTGCAATTCGTAGATGTGTTTTTTTTTAAATGTATTGCTGTTATGTTAATTTATTAAAGCGAGGTGTGCATAGTTCATAGATTCCTTCGCTGCCTAGATTGTGCAATTCGTAGATCTTTTTTTAAGTTAAAACATATCGCTGTGTACATGGATTCTTGTCAAATATTTTTTGGTTAGAAACTTTATGTTTTTGATATCTAAATTTTTTGTTTCGGATTTTTAGCTTAAATTGTGTGTTCAAAACGTGGTTTTTGCACGAGCGAAAACCACGTTTTTTGAGACATTTTAGGCTTAAAGTTTGAAATGTAGGCAAAAAATTTAGATAGTATGGCACCGTGGAGTTTTTTGGCAAGAAATTTGTCGCCAAGAGTAATTCCCAATTAAATAATAAAACAAACAATTGAAAATGCAAAATGAATAAGACAATGGCTCATAAATATGGATTAAATAAAGTAATAATCATGAGTTTTTGTTCCTTTAATTGCAATTTATATGAATTTTTCTTTCATAGTACATTTTATTTTGAAAGGCTACAAATGAAGTGATAACAAGAGTGCCAAAATCCACACCAGCTGAAATGGAACTTGCTGTTACTGCTGCTAAAGATGCTTTCAAATCTTGGTCACAAACTTCAATTTTATCTCGACAGCAAACAATGTTTAGATTACAGCATTTAATAAAGGAAAACATGGTAATTTTTCTTATTTTATTTTTTGTGTTTTGAATGAAACCACTATCATACACATTACAAAGTCTGAAAGCTGGATGTTGCCATATCTGGATTGATCTAAAATCCAAACCTGCAAACCACCAGCAAGATTTTTTTTTAATGCTTTACACTTTGTTTTCATAAAAACATATGGAATTTCCCAATTATCAATTTTACTTTGGCACTGACGCCAACCAGGCAAATCATTATTTATTATTTTGATCATATGACCATCAAAACACTGCATCGTGAGAAATAATGTCTGCAGCCATGTCTAAACAGTTTTTTTTAATATTAGGAATTGAATATCAAAGAGCATGATAACCGTTTCTGTTGACATTATGCTTGGCAACAATTATGGACTTCAGCTAGCTCCACTGTGAAGTGCTGAGTGTGTTAAAAGGAGAAATTTAACGTAAATTTCTTTCCATATGCCAAAGAAAAAATATTGTATAAATGATACTCTAGGCCAATATATTTCATTTAGTGCTATTTGAATTGAGAATAACCATCTTTCTAATAACTCGAGAACCAGTGCCAAAGCAGGTGTGACAGCACCGAGCAGCAGACTTTAGGGGAACAAAATTATCAGAATATAGAGGCATTGAACACCAAAATTAAGAGATGGTAAAAGCTATAGAAAAGGAATGTAGGAATGCAAAATTTAAGGAGGAATTTGGTGGCAGAATTTTGGACTTACAGAGACTGCACCAGGCCACAAAATCTTTAGTGCCTGCCTTGGATAATTCTTGAGTATCATGCACAATTACTTATGCAGAACTCATAAAAGCCTTAAGTATGTGCAGGAAATATCTGTAAGTATAGTAAATAACTAGACTAGTGTAATTCAGGCTAGCTAGGATTTAATTATCAAGGGGGGGGGAGACTTTTCTATAAAACCAACATTTTTGCAACTACATTCTATTTATAAACTTAAACCTTGCTTTATAAATAGAGGAGTTGCAGCTAAGGCTATCATTCAGATTTAAATTTATCAGCATGCAATAGAAGGATGACAAAATTTAGCATAATAACATGTCTTTAGTCGCCACTCTCATGATACATTGCTAATTGTGTATAACGGATGCTATGAGTTTACGATTATAGTAACAAATTTCAAGATTTTCAGTTATTGCAAACAAAATGTTAAATTTTCCAATTAATGGAATTTGTGAAGAAATGGGTAGAAGTGGTAATAAATGAAAATGATATAACAGAAGTTTTTCATTGTGATGACAGTGCCCTAATCATTGATCAAGTAATGGACAGTGAAATCTGTAGTATAATTCGAAATCCAGGAAATATCATTACCAATAGTTAAGAAAGTGACTATTTAGTGGGAATTCTTAACACATCAATTATAGAACTTAAAACAATGGAAATTAGTAATTGAAGAAGACATTTTTTCTATCTATAGAATTAAAGAGAAAATATTAGTGCAAAAAAAGAAGGGAATTAAACAACGTACATTGGAGGAAATGTTTAATAAAGCAAACAAATAAATATTGAGCTTTGTTTATATAAATTCTGATTCCCTTAAATTCATAAATGCTTCATTATTTTATAAATTGTTATTTCATATTTTGAATTTTTTTATTTTAAGCAGGAATTAAAAAAGTAAGTTACAACTGTTACCATCACTTGTCAGAGTTGCCAAAAACAATTGCTTATGCATAGAATAAAGCTCATGTCAATTTCTTTCTACGTAGACAGTTTTATTGTAGTAGAAGTAAGAGATACATTGTAGCATGACTGCAAATGATACATTAGTTAGAAACTTATCCCAAGGTTGAATGACAAAGAAAAGAATGAGTTTTGTGGACAAAATATCTTAACCATACTGAGTCTCATTGTGAAAATAAGCAAAACCATTGAAACATTTAACCATAGTCAAATAGTGTCAACAGTTCAAGTATAGCTAGCTGCACATTTTGATTGATGCATCAGCAAGGAATGTTGTCAGTATCGAATCAGGGAAAACACTTTGCTACAGGTTAATGAACTGGTTCATTGCAATTACAGAATGGCAATCTCATAAAACTGTTTAAGTATTGATGTCCCTGTGGGCAACAATTTGTCAAAGACGAAATAGGCGCGATCAGTCATTGCTACAGTGGTTTGTATGATTAAGTAGCAGATTCCTATTGGTGGTTGAATGCATTTGAGAAGTAGAATGATGTATCAACTTAATGCATCGCAATGCATCTCTCAATAAACTTTTCTCAGTTTACAGCAAATCAATTTGTAATTACAATTCTCAAATGTAACTTTTTAAAAAATTTTCATATAAATATTGTGTCATATTCACCATCACTGATACAGTCAAAAGTTGTTAATCCGGACTCGTCGGGACTTCGGCAATTCCGGATTATCGATTTTTTCCGAATTATAGATCATCAGTTTAAGTCTCGTAAGATGGCATGCAGAAATTCTAAAATTAAAAATATGAAACCGTAATTTATGAAATAAAGAACAGTTATGATCTAAAGAGTATCAAAATTTACCAAAAAAAAAAAATAAATAAATAAATAAAGCTTAATATTTATTTGTTTACTTTATTAAACATTTCTTTCAATGTAAGTTGTTTAAGTTGCTTCGTTTTATGTGATAATACTTTCTCTTGAATTCTATAAACAGGCATAATTCTTGTTCAGTTACTACAAAGTTCCTCTGTTCAAGTCCCGTAATTGCTGTGCCGAGAATACCGACTAACTTGTCGAATTTTTTTCGTTCCAATCAAAATTTTTTCGTTTTCACTAACCTCTCTGTCACCTTCTTCATGTCTTTATCCATTTTTTGCTGCAATTCCACTTTTTGTTTGATGGACATCGAAACATACTTTCGTTTTGTAGATCCTTTGGGAGCTCCAGCATCGGAAATTCTATTTGACATAATCGAAAGTTCAAGTTTACTTTTATAAAATCGCTCTTACAGTCTGCAAAAAATAATAAGCCATATCCAATTCGAAGATTAAGGAACAACGCAATCATCAACATTAACTGAAATAGATAATTTTAGCTTATACTGTCCGTTATACATTAAATGCGCACCCGAAAACGTATTCTGCGCTTGCGCACACTCATATGCGCAGTCGTAAAGGTCTTACGTGCACACGTAAACGCCTATGCGCATGTGTCAACGCGGCGCATGCACAGAAAGTTTTTAGCTTTCAGGTCCGGATTATAGATCATTCTGGATTATGGGTGTCCGAATTAACGACTTTTGACTGTATTAATTTAATGCACATTTCTTTTCTGAATTATGTAATTTGATGTAAAAGAAATTGTCTATCATAAATATATACATATGCCTCTGTTTGACAATATTTATTTTCCCTTTTTCTTTTTTAAATACAGGAAAAGCCAGGCTATCCAGCATTCAACTAACCATAAAGCTCAAATAACGAAAAAAATTTTAAATTAAAAAAAAAATAGACTATTATACAGTATGTAAAAGACTCTTAAAAACCCATTGATAACTCCTAAAATGTGAATCAAATTACATGGCTATTTAGAAGGCTAGGCTGTGCTATAGTCTATTCAGAAGACTATGCTTCTGAAAAGACTATGCGCTATTCAGAAGACTTAGCTTATAGCACACTACACTCCCATTGTATCCATCATATTGTTCCAAGAATTCGTTCTTGGAATAGGATATACTAAAAAAAGTTGGAAGTTGTTATGGCAAGGGAAGCATCATATTCATCATATTGTTCCAAGAATTCATTCTTAGAATAAGGTATACAAAGAAAAGTTGGAAGTTATTATGGCACAAGAACATATGATTACATGAACATATGAGATTCCAAAGTTCAATACGGACCACCAGCGGCCGAGCGGTAAAGTCACCGAACACTGGTAGTTTGGTCCGAGGTTCGAATCCCGCAAACGGGCTGGCTGCATGGGTGTTTTCGTGGTTTTCCCCATGTGTAACGTGTATACGAGCCAGTTTCCCTTAGAAAGTCCTCCACGAAGGCATCCCTCCTCTTAGGCAGATAGCCCTCGAGGCTTAGCCGTAATTAAATAACCTAACCTAACCTAACCTAACCAAAGTTCAATACATTCATTTAATTTGTTTATTGTAATCAATATTTTTGGATAAATTTTGGCCTTGGGAAAGACAAATAGTATTATAACACATACTTTACTTAAGACATGTGTCGCAAATCATTATTAAATTTATACAGATGGCAAATTTAAATGCATTTCTTCAAGACACTGCTAAGAAAAATGAATTAATGTTAATTTCTGCAGCAACACAGACAGCCGTTGACATTCTGTCAAAAGGTATTCTTGTAGTAGGTAGGCAGTGCTAAGGTCACTGCATAAGGTGGAATTTAGTATGAATATCCTCGACAAAAGTATTCCAACAGAAATTAAATTGCTTTTCTCTTTTTTTCAAAACACGTATTCGAATTTTTTGGTCTTAAGTTGAATGTCTCATCGGTAAAAATTTTTAAACCTTATAGTGACAGCAAAGCATCTTTTATCTAATTTGATTAATTATTTAGCTTCTATTGGCATGATTTGCCCAAGTTTGGCAGCATCGCTGCCAATTTTCATAGTTAGTGACATTTCGTAGTCGAATGAGAATTTTAATTGCATATGTTTAATTGCATTTTAATTACATATGCATAATTTTAAATGTAAGCTTATGATATTCAAGCTTGTCACAAATAAGATGAATGTTTCAGAATTTTAGTCCAGAAATTTCTTTTTTCATTCACATGGCTTTTCTACCAAGAATTACATTTGCATATGCTCAACTATCTGGAAATTTCATGTATTTAGAATATCTTGCTTCCTGAATGTTTTACATAGTTGAGCTTTTACTTTAAAAAAAAATTATTTAAAAAGGTTTCTTAGATATAATTTTTAATTTAATTTTATAGTAATTAATTTTAACTTTTATTTAATTATAATATTAAATTATATTAATTTTATGGTAATATGTTTTGTAATCATAACTTCTTGAAACTAATATTTTATCCTTGCTCTTAGAATAGGTTAAAAGAAAGTATAACTTTAGAGCAGGGAAAAAACTACTCAAGATGCAGAAGGAGATGTCCATCGAGGCTTACGTATGTTTCTTATCAGTCCTTTAGCTTTTAATTTTTTTAAAAATGTCTTAACTTTATAAAGAATTGTAAAAAGTTCTCATGGAAAGATATTTTATTATATATTTCTTTTTTGTAAAAATTATACAAAATATCTATAATATCAAAAAGTATTCCTCATTTTAAAAATATTTTTTAGTTTTTACTGTGGAATACTGATAGGATTTCTTTTGATTATACTTTCTGTAGATTACTTGCAATAGAATGGTTAATTTATTTTGATTCACAAAGCCAAGAATTTACGCATGATTTTTAAAAGAATTACAAAATATGAATATTTACTTAGTGATTGCTTATAGATTCAAGAACATAATTTATGAAATCTACTAAAAAGATATTTATATTGGATAGTAGAGAGTTAGGAAATGTAGCTGTGAATCATTGAAGAATAACCACACGCATAAAAAAACTCAAAGTTATGTATTTTGGTTGAAATTTAAATTAATTGTTGACTAGCACAAAAATTAATTACATTGACTAAAACACAAATTAATTAATAATGCACATATAGGGAAAATTTATTTCAGTATGTTTTGTGTGCGTTGTGTTAACCCCTTTGCGCCGACTGTCACGTCTACGTGCCAGCAACGAACACACTCACTTCCTGGCCGACATGCAGGCGTGCCAGAGAGTTTTCTCGTTTATCCCCGACTGTCACGTATTTGTGCCAGTGTCCTGGAACGTTTTAAAAACTATAATTTCTGCCACAAGATGGCACTGTATGTCCATATGGTTTCAGATACATGTTCATTAGACCTTCTACTCGAAATGAGAGAAGCATGACTCACATACACGTGTTTTTGATTATATAAACAAAAGGGGAAATAAATGTTTCCGTATGGCATGATTTATGACGTCTCTTTAAATCACACTTTATTCGCATGTGGTAGTTGTTTATTGTAAGTAGAGAAGTTTTATTTTCGCTAAAGCGTTGGGTATTTCGGTTTGCAGTTCAGTTTTTAGAAAATAATTAGATCTTGTTAGACGTGAATTCTTTCTGTTTTTACCGTTGCAATGTCGAAGCGTCGAAAATGTTTAACAGAGCATGAAATAGCAGAAATGATGCAAAATATTTCAGATATTTATTCTGAAATTCTGAAAGATTAACTGAAAGACATTTTCCAAAACTTTGTTCAGAAGAGACTGATAAGAAAATGAGACGATGATGCTTCGTTTATTCACATTCCCGGAAAAATCCTCCAAAACGGCAAATGAGTTATTACGAGTGCAAGGAATGTAGCGTAGGACTGTTCATAGATCCCTGTTTTCAAATTTTTCATACGAAAAGAGAATTTTAAGTAATATACTTAGTTTTCAGATGTATAATGTTAAAAGTCATAAAATGGTGAATAATGAAAATAAAATGTGTAAAATATGCATTTAAACAAGAAATAAGGTAATTAAAGTATATATATATATAATATATATATATAAAGCATAAGCTGTTTAAATACTCTATAGAGCATTATTAAACAATGCGTTGATACTTCAGAAATTTCATGGATTAAGGCTTAATAGCAAAAAAGCCCCCGGCCCTGGACAGATGCTTGCGTAAGACACAGCCGGCCTCCGCGATAAGCGCGCGTCTGCTCTACCCATCGCGAAGGGGTTAAAGATCTCCATCAGTTAAACTTGTGTACATTTTTCTTTTATTATTTACAATTTAAATCATTCTCTCCTTTTATATAGAGGTGGTGGAGCATGCTTGTGGAATAACATCTTTGCAATTAGGTGAAACTCTTCCTTCCATATCTCGAGATATGGATTCAATGTCATTTCGCTTGCCACTTGGTGTGTGTGCTGGAATCACGCCATTTAACTTTCCTGCAATGATACCTCTTTGGGTAAGACTTCCTTAGAGACATTTAAAGTATCATTTCAGTGTTTTCTGAAGTATTTCTGAGTTAAATTTGTAATGCATTTTATAACCACGGCCTAAAAAAAAATATTAATTTTAAATCAGAAAACTGAAGTTGTAAAGAGGTGATATATATATATATATATATATATATATATATACATAGGATTAGAAGGTGATGTATACAGGGTGATTCTAAATTGTTTTTACAAGTTAAGAGGGGGATAGTACTCGTCCAGATGAGCAATAATTACTGTAGAACATAGGGTCGCATTCCACTGTGAGAGGCAGAAAAAAGGAATATTACAATTCCAACTTGAACTTACAAGTGTTGGGAGAGCGAATGAACGAGACCAAAAGTTGCACAATCAGTTTAGTGAAAAACTCACAGAGAGAGCACAAAACGGATAAAACCAAAAACTTAACGTTCAAGTCTTAATTCGAGCTCCGACTTTGATGGCAAACACTCAAATGCACATCTTTGGTTGGCAAGATCTCAACCTCGCAAAAGATTCCAAAGTCCAGGAGGACAGGATAGAAGATGCTGAAGAGGAAACAAACTGCTATCTTAATACTTGATATCAAGGTAGTAGTTTTTTTTCCTGCTAATAGATAATTTCCCCCTAATAATTTGGATAATTAACTTGTTGCAATTGTTTGCAAGGTTGAGATCTTGCCAACCAAAGATGTGCATTTGAGTGTTTGCCATCAAAGTCTGAGCTTGAATTAACACTCAAAAGCCAAGTTTTGGGGTTTATCTGTTTTGTGCATGCTCTGTGAGTTTTTCACTAACTGATTGTGCAACTTTTGGTCTCCTTCGTTCACTCTCCCAATACTGTTCAAGTTGGAATTCTAATATTCCTCTTTTTCTGCCTCTCAGAGTGGAAAGCATCACCCCTCTTAATTTGTAAAAACAATTTAGAATCACCCTGTATATATTTAAGATTATAAATGAAAAATTTTACATCTTTATGACTTTATTTTTAACTTATGCATATCTTAATCACTTAAAAATGTAAATAATGGTTTGTTTTTAGAATATTATTTTTTCATTATTATTGATAATTTTCATTTTTCTTTTTATCTGCTTTATGATAATGTTTTTCATTATTTTATGGTTTATGAAACAAAATTAATGTCTATGATAATAGTTGCTAATGTGTGTGAGTGAAAATTAAGTTATTCCAAACACTTTCTTAATCACCCCATGTAATCTATTTTTAATTTTTAAAACTTATCACAGAACCTATATGAATCATATTAATTTGATATGAAGATGTTTCATATGTAAAAAATATGTAATTTTGTATGTTCTGCTATTATGCTTTTTTCAATATATGGGTGTCTGTGGATAAGAGAGGAATATAGATTTCTCAAAGCAGTTTGATGTACAGTATGTACTACAGTTAGTTATCAGTTGTTCTCATGCATTTATTTTTTTCCTATTGTTAGAAAGCATGAATAAAACTTTTAGTTATCTGCCAGTTACCACAGCAGAGTTATATTACATTCTGTTGCAGAACATTAATATGTAAATTGTTATAGTATTTTTTAACCCTCAATATAATTTGATGAATGGTTATGTAACTTACATATTGCACTAGAATATCTTATCTTCAGAAAGAAGCCGAAATATTTATATGCAGTAATATATTGTAAATGAAAATGTTTACAAATTTTAATCTATTTTTATCATAGAATCATAAATTGTAGACTATGTTTTAAGACATAACATGCAATTTTTAAGGAAAATATTAAATGAAATAATCAAAAATCTTATATCTTTTACTCTTAAGGAAGCAGAAATGCCAATATTCCTGTTCTATATCCTTTGATATTGTTCATTCAGTTCTGTACATATTACTAAAAAATTAAATGCATTTATTAACTGTTGTGCCATAGCTCTATTAAAAACTTCTGTAGTATCTTATCTTATCAATTCAGCTTACTATAACCTTTTAAATAACCAATATTTTAATTATGATAGTTTATTAAAATGCTTTTTCCATTCAAAAATTCTACAATCTCCCTTTGTATGAACAACCCTCTTTGCATGAAAGTTCAAGGCATGGACTCTACTATCTGTAGACATGTACAACACTTTGTGAAGGAGACCTCTGTAGCAGCTAATGGGAGGCTAGAGGACATTTAATGAGCTTTCTTATTCTCCATTTATTACTGTGTATTTGATTGTATTGTGGCTTATATACTAGCATTTTTATGCCATTATTTACTATGCATTATTATTTATTATGCTTGCCATTGGCATATATTATGCTTACCATTGGCATAATAAGTAAAATGTAACTTGAAAAATGAATAAAATTTAATTTGAAAAAAATTAAGGGACATTTATGTTTTTTATTTTTTGGGCTTTTATCTCTATATATAAGACATTATGCACCTAATAATGTTTTTATAGAAAACAAAATATACAGTGTTATTATATGTGCTTTATTTGATTCTTATTGTTGTGAATTCATGAGAAGATGCCAGAACAGAGAGAGAAACCTATTTAAACAGATCTTAGCTAATATTGTTGGCTGTTGGCCACCTTTAAATTAAAATGTTGTTCTCATATAATATTATTCTTATTATCCAAGTGGCTACTGTCTGTAAAAAGTTTTTAAATTGTCTCATTTTGTTTCAGTTTTTTGTTTGTTTAAATAGTTAATTAAAGAGAGATATTTATGTTTAGAAAAAGTTTACTTCAGTGATATTCTATTCAGAAACCCCTGCTTTTATATTTGTTTGAATAGTTGGTCACAGTTAGCAAGAATATTAAGGCTGAGATTGTGGTATTTTATTTAAAAGTTAATTTGCTGTAGTTGTTATTTAATATTGTTTATTTTTCTAGCATATCAGAGTACACTAATTCATATATTATGAGAACAATGTCTGGGGCAACACTTCAACAGTATGCAAACACTATGCTTAAATATTTACTTTTTAATTCATGTACTGAATCGTTTACATAACTTTATAAGCACAATAATTATTTTCATAAAATATACAGTAATTTATGGTACTTGCATATTACTTATGGTCCCATCAATCATTAAACTGTCACCAAACAGCATGATTTAGTGCCAGTTATAGGTAATTGGTATGTTGTAACATATTCATAATACGTATGTTTTCATTTAATGTAAGCACGATTGATTATCAGTAAGGCACATTTTGTTTTTGTGGGCGAGGATATAAATTAACTGTTATTAAGGTAGTTTTTCTTGCATTTTGCAAACATTATTTAAAATTTCAGATCCACCTTATCAGAAAGCAGTGGATTATTTTTAAAATTATGGGACTCTGCCATTAATGTATTTATGGGCACAATTAAGGTATTTTATTTGAAAAGGAATATAAAATAGTGATACGATATGGCGGGATATGGTTGACAAAGCAGTAACAGATTGGACTGATTGCTTATTAAATAAATAGATATCAGTTCCTGTAGAATTTGGCAGAAATGACTGATGCAAATGTAGCAGATATCCACCATCTTTTCACAGTGGACAAGATAATATGTAAATATCTAATCTATGAACATATTGTAATCTATTATTGTTAAGTCCTTTGGAGTTCTGCAAAATAACCTGGTGTTTACATCTTCACTTATCTTCCATGGGAATTAAACTGTATGTTTTTATCTTGAATATCAATCAAAGAATTATTTATTTGCATATTTAGAAAACATTTAATAAAAACTAAAATAGTAATTAGATGAAATACTGGATATGAATAAATATGAATAATTTGTATATTTTTATATTGTAGATGTTCCCTCTTGCTTTGGTATGTGGGAATACCTTTGTTATAAAACCATCCGAAAGAGATCCTGGTGCTACAATGGTATTGATGGAATTAGTTAAGCAGGCTGGTATTCCTGATGGTGCAGTTAATGTGATACATGGGGCTCATGAATGTGAGTAATAAGATTCAGGTGGTGTTCAGTCATCCTTATATCAAAAACTGAAGTATCAAATTTGACTAAAAGAAGTTCTTGTTTTAAATTTATTTAAAATATACTTAGGAAAAAATATTTATTAATATGCAATAACATGCAAACTATTCAAAATGATGTTATATACAAAAATTATACCAGCTCTCAGAAGTGATGATTGGAAAATATTGATACATTTTGGAAAGTAAGATTATTCTCAAAGATTGTTTTTTTATATTAGTTAGTAGTTTCTTTGCTAACCAATAATGTATGTACTAGTTGTAGCTTAGAAAATATATAACATGGATTTATAGCATTTATTTATAAGAATGCTGAAATAATATTTTTATCAATGATTTTGGATATTTTATTATGGGTATATCTCTACCACAGTCAAACTACATTAGTTCCACCTGTTTATAACTGTACAGCAAGGAGTTCATTCAATGTACAATAGTCATTCCAAAAATCTTTGTTTCATCAGTGCTGTTGAAGTTGGTGCTACTGAGTCACTGGTGCTGCTGCTAAAAGATTAAAAAAAGGGATAGAAATTAGTATCACTAGGAAAAGATTATGTATGCATCTTTAAAGTACTTTTAAAAATTAGCTTAGCTTAATTTCAGTGTAATTAATATGTTTCTTTTATGTTAATTATTAACAACACAATAAATCACACAATTTTAGATTTACAGGATTTTAATAGACAAATAAAGAGGAAAAAATAAGCCATTAACATTGCTGCAAATGTTTGCTGCATTAGTAATCTAAAGTTTCAACAAGTTAGTATTATGAATAATAAAGTACTTAAATTGTATAATTCTAAAAAAAATTAAATGTAGGCATTCAATAAAAAAATTGCTCAAAGTTCTGCAGTAGCAGTAATTCTTAAAATATTTATCATTATTGTTTGGACATTTATCGTAACAGAACACTAAATATACGATAATGTTTTTATAAAATTCCTTGAAACCTTTTCTGAACTCTCTCCTTCATATTATCATTCAACTAGATTTGTCCTTTCAGAGTTTAATGTAGTTTTCTTCTTGTGTCTCATCACTATTGACTGTCTTTGATTGTAAGTCTTTTTTAGTGTGTAATATAATATTGCTGACACAAGATAGCCTTAAACATGCCTCTTGATCCTTAATCAAGTTATAAAATATTAATGGGTATACGTTTTATGGAACTTCAGTTGGTCTGTAGCAATGCATGAAAAGTTCCAAAGCACAAACAAACGATACCAGTGATTTTCTGTGATTTTACATATTAGTCTTGCTGAATGAGCTCAGTCATTTTTGCAACAGTGGCATCTGCAGAATGCTTTGGGGCATCACATTGATAATTTTCTGTCAAAGATGACCATACTTCTTGAAACTGATTGCTTCCTTCCTTTGTGCTTCTGAATGACATGCAACATGCAGTATTATTCATATACTCTTTATATCCTTCAGTGAGTTTCAGTACTGTCTGCTCCTTATGCCTTAAAAAAATGTTTTTAAAATCTGAAAGGTTTCAGATTTCAATGGTCACCCAAAAGGGTTTGTTAAAGGTTTTTTTTTTTTTTTTTTTTTTTTTTACAGTCTCACTGAACTCACTTTGTCTGCTGTTGCACTTCCTGCTAACTCATTTGTTTTGTCAATTTAGCTTTATTATTAATCCTCTGAGCAGCATGGGATTTTAGATCTGTCTTGGAGACCTGCATTTAAACAGCATTTATGAGCTAAATTTGTATGATTACTTATTTTAGTCTCTATTTTCATAAACTTGCATTCATTAAGATGATATTTGCATTTTTAAAAAAGGTAAGAAAGTAAAATATCTTAAATTATAAGTTAATATATACCAAGTTTCAAAAAATTTTATGACTGCATAAAGGTGGTCATGGCACTCAGAGGGTTCAGCATCATTTTCTTCATACTTACACCATACACAATTCAACACCACAGTAACAATATTTTTATTAAATTTAACAAAATTTAGAATTACTGATGCAGTGTCAGGTGTTGGCAGTATTTTTATATTTTTTCACTCTTTTCTCACTTTATAAAATTAGTGTTCATTTGGGTACTCATGTATTAACACCACCGCAGCAGAAGTTGCACTGGTGTGCCAATAAATAGCAATCCTGTTGTTCGCATGCAGTTAATCTTTTGGATTCCTTTTTGTCTTGTCACTTGCTGATTTTTAACACCATTTTTTAGTGCTACAAAAAAGCATTTTTGGGATATGCCAAACACAGAAGAAGATGCAATTTATTTTTTCAGGAGCGAAATATTTTACCAAAAGAAACGAAAATGTACCAATTTGAATGATATGTAACATTATTTTGGTAAACGTACGTTTTGAAAATGTAATTTAATACAGTGGGATCAGCAAGTGGGACTGAGAAAAGACAACTGGTTTGAAGGAAGCAGAATTCCATTCAGCTTTGGGATTCATATACTGCTGGTGCGAGGAGTTGACGTCAATTAAGTTTTGTGAAAAGCAACTTGATTTATCGGATAAAACTGTTATAGATTGGAACAATTACATGCGTGAATTATGTGTCTTGTATATGGAGAATAAACCAAACAAGAAGGTAGGTGGACCAGATTGCATTGTGGAAATTGAAAGTTTGTTTATTAAGAGTAAAAATAATTGTGGTCGAGTATTACCCCAACAGTGGGTGTTTGGTGGTATATGTAGAGAAACAAAAGATTCATTTTTTGTCACTGTTCCTAATAGAACTGGCTCTACCCTTAATAAATTTATTGAAGATGGTAGCACAATTTATTCTGACAGTTGGAAAGGTTACTATTCAAATAGAGTAGAAAAAGAAGGATTCCTAAAGTAAATACGATTTGATTGATCCTGATACAGGAGTTCATACACAAACAGTTAAGAGAATATGGGGCAGTGCTAAATGGAGGAACAAGAGACATAGGGGGGACAGCAAGACATCATTTAGAATATTATTTAGCAGAGTTCGTATGGTGACAGCATCAGGTCAAAGAAAATAGAGACTGTTTTAAATCTATGTTAAACTCTACATCAGCCCATTTTCCACCGAAATCCAATGACTACTTTGATTTTAAATAAAGTGTTTTGATTTTTGAAAGTGTTTTCATTTTAAATAAAGTATTTTAATTTATGATATGTCGCAAAAATTTTAGGTGTAGATTGGCTGCACTTAAAAACCGCCAAATCTGCAGCTGCGGTGGCGTTAATATGTAAGTACCTTCATTTGCCATAGCAAGATGGCTAGCAAAAATGTTTTTTGCCTTTTTATTATTAACGTGTCGTATGTTAATTTTATTTATTAAATATCACAATTTTGCCGTGTTAAATTCAATTAAATAGCAAAGTCATCAGATATTTAAAAACAGCCTATCTTAAAAATTTCGATAGACAGTTTCATGCACTGAATATAAAAATGTTTTATTCTGTACACAATTCCGTACAAAGCCAATGCTTGCTTTTAACTTTTCGAGTTTGTTAATAAAAATTCATTTAAATTTTACAAAATGTTAAATGGATAATAAAACAAATTTGAAATCCAAAATCCAGGCTTCCAGGTGCACATGTTTGGGTAGAAGACTACAATATTCAAAATTTGATGGCTCTAGGTACCGTCATTTTTTTCACAGTGCGAAAAAATTCATATCATCATACAGATTCTTTATTGCTTTATTTCTTTAAAAATAATATAGGGCAGTAATATTTGGTGGCAACAATTTGAAAAGTAATATCATGCTTATAGTGGTTCAACACAAAATCCATTTGGGCTAATGCCAAATGGCTAAAAAACTACTTCTGGTTGTGGCTGTTTTAATGCAAGCATTTCTTATATTTGGGTTTGCTTAAAGTGCAATGATTGTGTAAAGGGTGAACACAATCAGTTCATTATCATTTACACAGTAGCTTCCTCTGGCATCCCATGTATGTGGGGATTTTCCCCTCTTGTCTGTTATTAATCCTTAGATTATTCAATACTATTGGCTGAAATGATGGTTTTGGGTATTTTGTATTAAATGCCCATATAGTTTGAATGCAAAATATAATTTGTGTTGTATTTTTTGGAACAAAGAGGGACGACAGGTTTCAATTAACGTTTAATTTTGGACTGGGAGGGACAGGTTCACAGGAATCAGATTTAAAAAAAAAATTAAAGATCTGGTTTGTATTTCTTAAAAATTTATACTGGTTTATAATTTTATTTTCAATAAGTATGCACAAATGCATCATTTAAAAGTTTATATACAACATTTACCATATCCTCATTATTATTATTCATCTGAAGATGATTTCTAAATTTCATTTGATTCTTTTCTTTCTTTCTAGCTGTGACATTTATCTGTGATCATCCAGATATAAAAGCTATTTCCTTTGTTGGATCAGATAGAGCTGTGAGTATTATTTTGTACTTTTCCTTTAATATCATTTGATATTTCAGCTGAAACAGTAAGTAAATTTCAGCTGAAATAGTACTCATTTAAGAGTGAATTGGTCATTAGGAAGTTTGTGTAAAAAAATGCATTTCAAGTACAATTTAGAGCGAGAAAATTAAAATTTCTTCTCTACAGCTCATGATAATGTTAAGTAATATACCAAAAAAAAAAAAAAAAAAAAAAAAAAAGATGTGCATTCATTTATTTTTTAATTTAATTTACTTATTAAACTAAAACACAAAAAATATGGTTTTATCAAAAACCTCAAACTGTTGATCTGTTGTGATATTTTAAGTTATATAATATATTTTTAAATTAGCAGTTTTTTTAAAGTATGTAATTTTCATTGCAAATTGTTTGTGTATTTCTAATTTATTAAAGATGCTAAAATGTAATCAATGTGTTCACATGTATGCATATGAATGAATTAATCAGAAGTGCTGTAGTGTATATATGCTACCTCAAACTTCATCAGATGCTAAATTAACTTATATCAATTTATGTATAGCAGTTTATACTTAGACCATTACAGCATCAATATAAAGACAATTGTAGGGATCTGTATGGGTTTATCAGGAAAATATACATATAATTATTTCACTAATTAATAAGTAAGGTTCATGTTTACAATATACACACACTGGTCAAGGAATTAGAAAACTGAGATCAATATTTTATTGAACCACCTTTTGCACGGATAACTGCTCTGATTCATTTGGCCATCAAATCTACATGCTTCTGGAGTGCATTTACGTCTTGAGAATACCATGCATTGGCTATGCAGCTTTTTAGATCTTGTAAATTAGATGGAACAAGAGAATCCTGTAGAATGCGTCTTCCCACCATATCCCACACATTTTCTGTGGGGTTAAGATCCAGGCTATGCAGTGGCCAGGGAAAGTGTTGGAAGTCAGACTGATGTTCAGCAAACTAATTTTGAACAGTTTTGGCACAATGTGTAGTTACAATATCGTCCATGAAGTATCCATCACCATCAGGCTAAAAATACAACATTGCAGGGTGCACTTGATCTGCCACTATATCTAGGAATATCATGGCTGTTTCTTTACCATTGAGGAACACCAGGGCACCACTTCCATGCCAGCAGAACATGCCCCATATCACGGTATTCCCACCAGATCCTTGTACAGTGCAAGTAAAGCAAAATGAATTCATGGCTTCATGGGGTTCTTACCAAATTTGACGTCTTCCATCAGTGCAAAATATGATGTAGCTTGATTCATCTGACCACATTACCCATTTCAGTCCTCAGATGTCCAGTGTCTTCTTTCCTGACACCACTGCAAACGAATTCTTGCATGCCGAGCGGAAATAAATGATTATATCACAGGCACCTGACTATGCATTCCTATCCTCAACAATTCTCTGTGCATGGTTCAAGTTGCAATCTGTTGGGAAGAGCCTTGTTTGACGATCTGTGTCAATTGAAGCACAGTAGAGTCTCCGTTCTGCGGTTCAGTTCGTCAGAGACTCTGCTGATCACTCTCTTGGAAAACTGTGCTCGAACCACAGTTATGTCTTCTAGGGAAGGACTGTGGGTTCTGATTCCAACTTTTGAAAACCTTTGATATGGCTGCTTTTGAGAATCCAGTGAGATTTGTCTTCAAAATCGAGGACCTTGTTAAACGGGCACTAACAATAAGCCGTTTTTCAAATGGCGAAAGATCTGTTGTTTTTCCCATTTTGCTTCATTCATCATGAAAGGCACTCTTACACCTTATTTATACTAGCATTCTAACCATGTATAACCCACGTCACAAAAAAAAATTGCATACTTCATCCCTAGCATGCATTCAAATGAAAATCTAAAAGGTTTATAATTCATTGGCTAGTATGTATATCACATTTTCTTTTCCACATGAGTACCATTTTTATTTGTTAGTCATGCATTTGCTATAAAAAACACAATTATTCAAATTTATTAATCTCATAGTAAAATAATAGTATGCATATCATTTATCTAGCTGCAAAATCAAATTAAATTAAACTTGGTGTTTAATATTCATAATTAAATGTAGTTACTGAATTTTATCAGGAGGTCAAAATTATGTGCTATTTTTCTAAGATGTCTAAAGTAAAAGTCTGAATAATTCTATTAAACTATTAATTAATTAATTTTTTGATTTAAGACAACTGTACAAGTCATCTAAAAAAGGTATTTCTGCTTATTTAAAAAATTACTTCTACTAACTGCATGAAATCTAGTGGAAGTACTATTCAAGGAATAGCAACTTCAGATGTATCTAATGTTCAAAGAATGTCTTGCTATATTTTATTTTATTAAAGGGAAAATATATTTTCTTTTGTATCACTATATGATCATGGTTATTATGCAGTATTTACCAGTAATCTTTTATTTGTAGGGCAAATACATCTATGAAAGAGGATCAAAGAATGGAAAGCGTGTACAGTGTAACATGGTAAAAATATGCTTAATAATAAAAAATTTAATTCAGGTTTTTAAAGTTTAATTTTTTTCCCTTAAATTTAGTGTGTAACTTTTTGCATAAAAGAATCTGTAGAATCCCCCCCCCCGATGTGCACCTACCAAAATAATAATTTATTATTTGTACTTTAAAGGTAGGGAGATATGTAAAAATTAAAATTTTGTAAAAAATCTAATAACTTGGTTGGCTGAAGATAGTGAAAGGAATGATTCTCTTTAACCCTTTGTGGCGCACTATACTTTAAAGTCGGAATTTCAACAACAACAACAAAAAAAAAAAAAAAAAGTTGTATTCAGTCTTAAAGGAGTATACCTGTAAAATTTTGTAAAAATTGCACTTACCGTTTTAATTTTGTGGGTGTTCCATGAGGTGAAACTCTGCACCGCCAGAGCTCTTAAAGTGCGACTACGCAAGCACTGCAGTGAAGCACAAAAATGAGTAGAAGTTTTTGTACAGTAATGATAAAACAATATATTATGGCTGTATACATGGTTTTCAGGATATACACAATATTCTTGAATATATATGGATAAATGAAATAACTATATATGTATATACACAAGTCCTATATAAAAAAATATTTACAAATATTTTGATTTCCTAGCTTCATGAAATTGTTCAAAGCATGTCGCACCTTTTTAATAGAAGCACAAACCAACTTTGCAGGTTTTGCACACAAAACTTGTTTTGTGATGACTCGAGCTGCTGAAAGGATGACTCGAGCTACTGATAAAATTCCCGCCTCAACTCACAAAAATTTCAAGATGCCTATATTAGAACTTTCATAGCACAAACCACACCTCACCCTCAATACTGCTTTCTTTGAATTCATTCCCCCCAAAACAACAGAAACGTATACAACAGATGTTTTTTCCTAAGAACAGATGTTCTGATTCCTAATAGCATGAGATCGCTAAAGGCGCAGTGTTTCCGCTGATGGAACACTCTGTTTTATTCGATGATTCCACGCTTGCTTTTTGTATGAAAAATTATTTAAAATATGGAACAAATGATATAGAGTACAGCTATTAAAATTATACAGAAAATTTTTTGCAAACATTTTTTTTTTTTTTTTTATCAAAAAAAAAAAAAAAAAAAAAAAAAAAAATAGAGAAAGAGAAAATTACTTGAAAATTAATGGATTTCAATAACACATCGTAGGTGAAAATTCTGGGTCTCCTTGTGATATGCTGCCATTTACTATTTAAAAAGAAAAGTTCAAAGTATATTATAAAATGCTTTTTTATCCATTTACATTTGAATTTAATGGTTTCAGAAGCAATTCAAGTTGGGTATTACATGTAGTGAAACACTGAGCAACAAAGGTTTAAACAATATGTTCTTGTTCTATATTTAAAATATTTTCAAAAGAAAATCTTATGTATCACAATAAATATTCGGATTTCCATAAATTAAAGAATCGTAGTAAAAATCATGATAAGAAAAGTAGTTGAAGAATTTTGATGAAATTTGGAAAAAATAAAAATTGCTAATGAAATTTTAAAATTGTGCACAAATATTTCATGTAAAAAACATTTCTCAAAGAGAAATTAGTTCACATCTAATCTTGCTTAAAAATTAATTGTGGGCAGCGCTGTGGGGAAAATGCAGTATATAGTTTAATAATGCCAGTAACCAGTAAAGCACCAAGAATGTAGATTAAGAGAGGAGATTATATGCTGCTGTTTGTACTATGGAAACATAGAATAGTTTGATAAATAGTAGCTGCGTTTGATGATGTCGAAATATGTTTAAAAAGGGGGAATTTTTTTATGGTGTGAAAGTGGATTTACAAGTAATAATTTTATAAATTTAAATTCTCTAGGACTGTAAAATATCAATAAAATAAAGATGATATGTGTGAGCTACTGCATATACAAGATTATTATGAAATAATGTAAAATCTTGGTGCAGTGTATGCAGAATTACATATTTTAAGTAATATCTGGTTGTAATGAAAGTTTTCCACCAAAAAAAAAATGTTCTTAATAAAGTTAGAAAAGAAAACGAAGGCAGTAATATCTGGTTGTAACAAAAGTTTTCCACCAAAAAACGTTTCTAATAAAGTTAGGGAAAAAAACATGAAAGCAGTATATTTAGTGCGGGTAGTTAATCACCACTCGAATCTATGTTTTCTGCAATTGTTTTGGTAGTTTTTCAAAGCCTTCGGCCGAGAAACTTGGTGGTTGCAATTCCAAAAACAGATCAACCTCATTTTGGACATACTGTGCAGAATGGAAGACATCTAGTATCAGAAAGATGTAATTGCAGGTGTGAAAAAAGCTAAAAGTCTGCAGGAGCAATGTCGCAATTATATGGTCGGTGTGGTGAAAGATCCCATTCAAGTCCATGCAGAGTCCAGCCAGTGAATGCGGACACATGTGGTTTTGCATTATCTTGATGAAACATTACTTTTTTGTGCCGGAATTCAGGTCCACGTTTTTTCTTGATAGCAGCATCAACATGGACTAGCATCTCACTGTACATCTTACTGTCAAGGGTTTTACTGTTTTCCAGATACTCTTTGTGGATAATACACTGGCAATCTCACCAGATACAAAGCAGGATCTTTTTAAAGTATGATCAATTATCAATTACATTTTAAATCTTCTTTAAAATTTTTACCAAAACATATCGTAGCAACTTCTTACCTAGTTATTTTATCTGGACTTGGGTTAGAAAAACTGTAAATGTGAAATTCTGTTTGAATTTTAAACTTTTGTCATGTAGTTTTGCATATATTTTTATATATAATTTACATGAAAATTTGCAAATCTTTGAGTTGGAAAAAGCTTTATTCTGTTAAAAAGTATTTTAGAAGTCATATAAGTTTGCTCCATTTAATGCAGTATGATTGATTTACTTGCAAATATATATACTTGTTCTAATCTGTTATAATTGATACACTTGTTCTGTTTTCAATTATTCTATCAAATTAAAACACATTAGAAGCACTCAAATTTTTATTTGTGTACTTTTTTGAAATATATTTTGTGATACCATATTCATTATATATTATTGAATTCATTACCATATTCATTGAAATATTAAAATTTATAAATTTTATGCAATATATGTCTCACAATTAATTGCATTATGTGATTTATAATATAAAGTGTGTGATATAATTCTCTGAATTCTTGAATTTTACATATTTATGCATTTTTAAAATGTTACTTATTATTTATTTATTTTTATTTATTTATTTATTTATCTTTTATTTGGCTAGGCATAAAAAGATTGTTAATTCAGGTTCTGCTTCATTGAACAATCATGTTTGAAATAAATGTATTAAAGAGAAACAAAACTTTTATGATGGTCTTTTAGTGTATGTGTATACTGTACATTATAAAATTCTCAACTATGAAAACCCCTTGTGTAACAAAAATGCATCATTGAATAATAACGAGGGGGGAAAAAAGGTTTCAGTTTTAAACAGTTATCCAAAAGATTTATTAAGGCTTTTTACACTTTCACGGAGCTCACAGTCTACCAGTCTGCTGTTACATTCACTCCTACTAATCAAATTTTTGTTGTCTTTTTTAGCTTTATTAGTAAGCATAATTTTCTTTGCACTTATGCCATATACTATTCAATAGCAAAATTACAAAAATTTTTAAAGCAGCATAGCAGCATACGTTTAGAATTCTCAGTGCAGCATTAAGTGTTGCACATATTTTTCTGTTTTTTCAGTCTTTTCTCAGCTCATCATATTAATGTTCAGTTTTCTTACTAAGATGGCTGTACAAAACTTTTTTTGTCATTTTATTATGAACGTTTTGTGAGTTTAGTTTATTTATTAAATATCACATTCTTGGGGTTTACAGTACATAAAATTTGACTCAACAGCAAAATCACAAAATATTTAAAAACAGCAAATCTTTAGAATTTCCAATAGACAGTCTCGCACACTGAGGATAAAAATGTTTTTTTTTTTCTGTCGTACAGTGTTGCAACTGCTCACTTTGAAATCGTGTAGTTTGTTAATAAAAATTTGTTAAAGTTTTACAAAATATCAAATAGATAGACAAAATTCAAAATTCGAGCTTCCAGGTGCTCATATTTGAGTGGAGGACTGCATTATTCAGAATTTGATATTTCTATCTCTAGCACTGTTGTTTTTTTCACAGTGTGAGAAGTATGCTTACATTCTTCATTATGTAATTTCTTTAAACATAATACAGGGCGAATAGTAATTGGTGGCAACAATCTGAAAAGTTATTCGCCATTTATAGTGATTCGACACAAAATGCTGTTTCGAGACTAATATTCCAATCAGGAATAACATCCCCTTTGGGATAATAATATGACAGTTGTGGCTGTGGTATAATGTGCGAAATTAGAACAAATTACACTTTACACCTTACATGTTACAAATTACCTTACATGTTTCTGTGTTCTGTCTTACTGGGCACTTGGGATGTCTTGTTTATGTCAATGTCAATCAGTTTAGTAGAAAGCAACGATCATTATTAACTTTATGTGGATATCAGCATTTCTCTGACTCAACTATCAGTTTGAAAACTGCAAGCATGTTTTCCTTGAGCATTCCGTATGTGCTGAATTGAATTCAGATCTAAAAATTAAGTTGTCAATCTGTGTACACTGTGATGTCTTCTTGAAGATTTGTTTGCCTAGTCAAACTTATTATGATCAAGATTCTCTAGTAATATCTTACTTATAGGACATGCTTAAAGAACTTCATGAAAAACCATAATATTATTGTTTTATTTTGAGGTTTCTGTTTTTTAGTACACAGAGTCTTTATATCCAAGTACAAATAACTCCATCCTCAAACAGACATGTACTTCTGTTATAACAGTCTCTTTGATATTATATATGTTGCAGATGTTTGATGCCTGATTCTGTATAGTTAGTTAAATAGATTGGGAATGTTATGTGTCAAAGTTAAATGTAATGAAAATATTGAATGTCAATTTAAACCTGAATAAGAGAATGCTGTGTATATGGTGGGACGTCCAAGGACCAATATGCTACAAGCTTTTGAAACCTTTAAAGAAAAGCTCAGTTTGGAGTAATAATGTCGGTAGTAAATAGGCAATTTAAACAAAGCAGTCAAGGAAAGGAGGCTGACAATGTTCAATAGGAAGCACATCATATTGCATCATGATACTGGCAGATAACATGTTGCTTTGGTAATGGTATGCACATGATCATTTTGTAATTTAGTTTAAGAAAAAACTAATTTTAAATGAAAGAAGTTATTCATTTTATGAAAATTAATTATTTTACTTTTGAGATTGTTTATATTGCTGATATTTTTTTCTTGACTTATTTTTAATTTACTGGGAAATGTCGAGCAGTCATACTGCTTTTAGAACAAGGTGGTCACATATTGTTTGAACCTGCTGTATATAGAATAATGTGATCACGTATTGTTTGAAATCTTCTGTATAAAAATTTTCTCTTCCCCCTCATCTTCCAGACAATATAAAATTGCACAGAAAATAAGACAAGCACATGTACTGCAGACCGTTTATGAGACAAAAATAAATGGAAAAAATGTGCTATCTTCAGATAGGGTTTTTAGAGTTTAAATCTATTGTTGTTGGCATCTGATTATTTTACAGTAATTTGATTGGAAAATGTTTCATTCATTTTACCTGCTTGGCAACACTTTTGTCCTCATGGCAACATGTTTGAACATTACAGGAATTTTCTTTTTCATTTCTATTTATATAGGGGCTTAGAATTTTGGGTAAAATTTTGAAGGAAAAACTCACTGTCAACTTATAATTGGAAATAGCAGTACTTCAGAATCATATCTAATAAGCATAAAAAATTCATTAAATTATATGTAGCTTTAGTTTAATTTATGTAAATAATATTATTTCACGGTGGTTATATGCCAATAGTTTGTTTGATGCCTACCATTGCTTTCTAGAACATAAATTTTACAACACTTTGCGAATAAATTCTTCATTTTGGGAAAATAAATAAATAAATTGATCAATATTTGCACAATAATCTGCATTTCAGTACTCTGCACTTAATCTTTTAGCATCAAAAACCTTTTCCTAGACTGTTATTTTATTTTTATTTTTACACTTATTTAGCTCTTCAGTTTTTGTACGGTATTTTAATATCAAATGTCAGTTTTATAATGAGTACACATTTTTTAGTATCAATTTTATAATAAGTGAACATTTTTCTTAAATGTAAGTATAAAAACTAGAGGAGCATATAAAAAGTTTTGTAATTTTTACAAAATTGATTTTCTTTAAGAAATGCTAAAATATGAATATTTGCATCATTTAAGACATTTGTGTAAAAGAATGGTATGTCTGTGACCGACAGTTGTGAAATCAAAGGTAGGGTAAGGACTTTAATGGACATTCTTAATGAAAACTAAGAAAATAAAGTGATTAGACTTTTTCCTTTAGCCCATTAGTGGTCAGTTTGTAAAATCATTGAACACTGACAGTTCGACGTGAGCTTGACTTTCAGCAATTAGGCTGGCAGCATAAGCTTTTGTGGTTTTCACCATATATAACATGGATACAAGCCAGTTTTCCTTAGCAAATCCTTCATGAAGGTATCCCTTCCCTAAGGCAGATAGCTCTTGCAAGCTTTGCCATAATCAAATAAACCAAACTAACCATTTTTCTCCTTATATAACTGCTTAGTATGTATTTTTATGAAGGAAGAAGAAAAATATGATGCATTTTCTCTTTAAGCTTTTTTTTAACAAGTTTATTAAAAATTTGAAAAGTGTGCATGGTTTTCAGCAAAAATGACTTTCAATTGTGTATGACATTTCACCTTTCTGTATCTTACACTAACAATGCATTTTTATGTAAATTAATTTGCAAGTCTTATTTGAGAAATCTCTTAAATAAGTTGGCTTTTTGAAAATCAGGAATAATTTCAGTGTTAACTGCTTAAAAGTAACATTTTGACTTGATTGCATTTTTATAGTCATTTCATGTTTTGTGTACTCAGTATAATTTTATCTTTTCTATAATTGATAATCTATCGATAATGTTAATACTCAGAGTCTGGTGGCATGTATTATTTTTAAAATGTAGTTTAGGCAAACGAAATAGTGCTGTAAGCTGCATAAAATGAAAATCTATTCACTATATCAAGAATTTACTTTTTAATGAGTAAAAAAAATGTAAGATATTAAACAAAATTCAATAGCAGATCCTTTAAAAAACAGAAAAATTGGTGAAAGAAAAAATTAAATTCTTCTTCATTATTAGTAATGCATTTTCAAAAATTGTTGATTTGAGCAAAGTTTCATCATTTGAGATTTACAGTTCATGAAATTTGTTTATGTCATCAGTTTTTTTAGGGTTAAGGGAATAGAGGTTTTCTTAATGGGGATCTGAAACTAAGAGCTATGTTAAGCAGTAAACATGTCAGTAACATAAGTGCTTACTTGTTGGAATGATGTGAACTTTCATCATCAGAATAAGAAGAATAATGCATTATTTTCGTTTAGTTCTTGAAAATTCATTGGATATGATACAGGCTGAGAAATGTGTATCCTTAATCTTCTACAGTAGATAAAAGTTAATTTCCTAGTGAACACTTGTTTCTGTCTTTCAGGCTATGCTATAGGTAATATCTAGTCAATAACCACTAGAAACAATAGTAATAATAATAACTCCTCTTCTGGATAACAACAATTGCACTGTTTTTAAATATTAATCATGACTTTCTCATTAGTGTACACTGGCTCGTTTAGAGCAGATATATTCAGCTATCGTTATTTGATTGCACAATTGAGTGATGAATCCTTTGGTGATTACTAGATCCTTACCCTTAATGCAGGGAAAAAATTGTGAGTTCTTTAATAATTTGGTACATTATACTCACCTCATTTGATGGAGAGTTTTGAGCCAACACATTTTGATGTCAATAATATTTTTTACTAGCTTTGTTACCTCAAAACAATTATTCTTAATATAAGACTAATCAATGAAACATATTCTTCTGTGACTGAAGTGTAATGAACTTTTAGTTCACTTTACAAGGCTTAGTCTTAGTCTTTAAATAAGAATATATGTATGTCCCTAAGAAGTATGTGGTGATTTAAAAATAATCCTTGTACATTTCCTACATGAGTGGCGCAGGCAACAAATAGAAACTGCTGAATGGGTTAATGCTATGTGAATGGAATATTATTTTCTTAAATTGGTTCTTAAAATTTGATTTGGATTAAAAACTGATTGCCAGATTTGTAACATCTGATTCATTTGTAATATTACTACCTTCAGTGGTTAGCTTGTAATATATCATTTTCCTATCATACTCATACAAATCTTGCATTTAATTTACTCTACAAAGAGACTGATCTGTTTTTTACTTTATTGTAATTTTTCTTCTCCTAGTAATCTTAGTAAATTAAGTTTTCTTATTTTTAGGGTGCAAAAAATCACGGAGTTATAATGCCTGATGCTAACAAAGAACATACTTTGAATCAGGTAGTAATAAAATTAATGTTTCAAGTAAAATAAAAATTCAGATTGTGTACTGTTTCAGTTGTTTAATTTTTTATTGTATTTTGATTATTGTAGCTTGTAGGTGCTGCATTTGGTGCTGCAGGACAGCGTTGCATGGCTTTATCAACAGCAGTTTTTGTTGGAGAATCACAAAACTGGATACCTGAACTAGTGGAAAGAGCTAAGAAATTGAAAGTTAATGCAGGTATCACTGTTTGAAAAAATGTTTCAATAAATTTTTTCATAACTTTATCTAAATTATAAAGATCTTAAATTTTATGTCCTTTAAGGCAGTGTTTCTCAACTGCCGGTCCACGAAATATCCAGCTATCTGTCCAAAAATTGTGCCAGTGGGTCGAATTATTAAACTTACCGGTCCGTGAGAATGTACCGAAATATTTTACTGGTCTTTGGAGTAAATCCAGTTGAGAAACACTTCTTTAAGGGATATTATTTTATATTTTACTGTAATATCAGTTTTAACTCTTTTTTTTTTTTAATTTTAATATTTTAAAATAATTTTATAGATTTCTGTACTAAAAAGTAAATTTGGATACCACTTAGAGCAATACTGTAAAACTAATGTTCTAGGTTATAATGCTAAATGCATATTATAATGCTAAATGTATATTGCATAACTGATATTTGGAGGAAATAGCGGTTCTCATAAGAAGATATATAAGTAATTAATTTTAATAATTATAATCTTTATTTTAGTTTGTTTTCTAAGCATATTTTAGACATTCTTATTTCAGAAATAGTTATAAAACCATATTTGCCATCCCCTTCTTTTCTGTTGGTCTCTTGACTAAATATATGATAGTCATACCTCGAAAAACAATTATGCTCTTTTTAGTTTATATTGAATCAAAATATAATACAGAAAAATATGTAGAAAATAATTATTTGAGTAATACCAAATTATGATTTCTAGATATTATTAAGAATTAATATTGTCAAACTGATGTTCTAGATTATAGTTTTAAGAAGCTGCTTTGATAATTCTGTCTCACTTTATTGTTTTATGACTGTCAGACTTTGTAATTTTGACTGACTGTTACTTTCATAGTGCTAGTAAAAAATAAAAATGAAAAGCAGGATTCATATTGCATTTCTTGAAATGCATCCAAAATTAAAAGAATTACACTGTCCTAGTTTTGAGTATTTGATGGCTGATTTAATAATTTCTAATATTAAAGAGCAAGTAAACAAACTACAAACTGGCAGGCCACTCACTAGTTATTAGTCTCTAGATGGAAGCATGCTAAGAAAGTACTTGTTGTTCACTAGGTAAAGAGCATTTCAAGGAAATTTTAATTGCCATCAGAAGTTCAAGATAGATAAGTTCAAGAATATTAAAATTAAAAATAAGCAACTGATTACGATTTAATGTAACAAAAATTTTGAATGATTACAATCTCTGCTGTCAAAATGTACTGTAAGTTAAAACTTGTTTTGCAACAAATAAAATCCATATGATCATCATATAGATGTCTCTTAGGCCAGTTTCTGATCATATTTTTTTCAGGTATGCTTATCTGACTGAAATTTGCTTGGCAATAAATTTTGTCTAAAAAGCACTCTAAAATCTAGGTGTTCTGTTTCAAGATTTCCATGACCCCTTCTCAGAGAATAGTAAAATAAAAAATAAATAATGTTTAATCAAAACTGTTGAATAAGTAGTATAATTAATAGAAATAAAAAAAATAAAAAAAAAACTCACTTTGAGCTCTGTTGTGAAGTAGCTCAACCAGCAGTGATGAATATACCTGAAATTTCTACCAGTGCTGTTCAAACCATTGGCACACTTCCTTTGCTTGTTTAATTTCAGTTAAGCATCAAGAGAGAGAATTCTTTTCTTTTTGTTTACTTTAGTTATTTTATTCATGTAATTTGAAAGTGGATAAAAGCATAATAAAGCAACAAAGAAATAATGAGTAGGTTATATACTCTTCAATTAGTACCATTAAACAGCTGAGTAATGCACAGTCAGGCATGAATTTGCAGAATAGTTCAAACAAAAAGCCACCCAATATGTTATTTTCATGGTTACAACAAAGAAGTTGCTGTGAACTTAACAATATACGGAGGATTACGGATAATTCACTTTCATGGACAAAGCATTGTCTTATTTGTTGTGTGACACTTTCAACTAAATCAATGAGATCTTAAAAGTTGAAGTGGCATTTCAAATTAAAACATCCTAGCTATAATAATAAGCCAATAGGTTTCTTTAAAGATAAAAATAGAAAATTAATAGCTTCCAAGAAAACTGGTCTTTGAATTTTTCTCAAGGTTCTTGCCAAGGCTTTTTATGAAGTATCAAAATTGATTGCTAAAACTGATTATGTGTAGACAAGTGCCAGAAATTAATTGTTCCACCAAAAAAAAAAAAAAAATAATAGCATTTGAAATTGTATTATAAAAAACAAAACCAAGTAGATATGCTAACACTATTAAATAATGCTTAGAACATGAAGTTGTGAAGATGGCAAATAATATCAAAGAAATTGTTATAGATCATTTAACGGGGTGTATTTTCCCTCCTTGACAGTCAATGAAAGTACTGAATAATATTAATACAATATGGTTTATGAGTTACAATTTTGACCATAGAATTCATGAAGCATTTCTTCTATGTAAACTTCTGATTGCAAGAACAGCAGCTGAAGAAATTTTATATTAAATTGATTATTGCATCAGTCAAAATGAATGGAAGATATACGTATGTGAGTGAGTAGCAATAGAGCTCATTCAATAATGGATGCATGTAATGGATTTTTCTGAACTTAAAAGTTAAAGAACCAAACTGTGTGTGGTTGCTGTTTAGCATTCACAGAGTAGTACTGACCATCAAGAATATGTTGTTCCTTTTAACAGCAAATTTGCAAGAGTGCAGTTGCAATAACTGCAGATTTGCAAATTCACTAACTTTATAAAACATGTTGGATTCAAAAATAATCATTGTAGTATAAAAAAAAAAGGGAAGTGAACATGGATGTCTGTCAACTGTAGTAGCTAAAGAAAAAACATTTTAAGAAAACTTTTTGAAGTAAAGGAAAACGTTTTAATGTTCTTAAATCAACACCTCCAATGGCTGGAGATGTAATATTTTAATTCAGTGATCCAGTTATGTGGAAGTATAGAAACATTTACAAAAGTAATAGATTTTCAAAGAGAGTATGAAATGAGTTCCTGTGCAAGATAAAATTTTAGATGATATTTAAGAAATGCTAAGACTACACACAAAGCTTAAAAATAACATCACACATCAATAGCAACAAAACATAGTTAAGGATCCCTTTTACAGTAAATGCAGAATCTTAGACAGAATGGTCGATTTAGGCAAATTGTAACTGAACTGTTCTGTGACATGTCACTTAAAATCATTTTTTGTAGAATATCATTGATATATTTTCAACTATCTTATCATTAAGAATATCTAGTTTTAGAAGAAATGGTGATAAATTTTTAGTACCTTTTGTCACAATGTGTAAGTATTGAAACAAGTTTTTCAATATTAATTTTCTTAAAAGAGTAAATACAGAAACCAGTTAGAAGGTAGAGTAGATTTAGGAATACAGTTAATAATTTTTTCCTTCTGGACAGCATCATAGTTCTTGTTAAAAATGTATTTTATTTTATTTTGATTTCTTGACATCTTAGCAAAAATAAAATGTTTTTCTATTATAATAATAAATAAAAACTCAGTGGACATTTAAATCTGTTCTTTTTGATTTTGCCTATTTTAGTGGCTTAGCTAAGTAGCACTAAGGGCAGAGATCGGTGGTGTCTCCCCCCAAATTTTAAAATATGAAAGTTATTTGTGGGTACCTCTCTGTCAACATTAATGTGACAAATTACTACCACACCCTCATGTAGCTATGTGTCTACTTGCCATAAAAACCTTAATGGACCACGAAACAAGGATATTAAAATAACTGGCTCACAAGGAGGGGGCTTGGTTTGGAATCCCTGTTCCTAGATTCTCAAGTCCCTAGTTTTGTGATTTTTAATTTTAACATTTTTTAACGCCATTCAAAATTGTGTTATTAATATGAATGTGCTTTTAAATTAATTTTCTTTATCTTCAAGTTTAATTATTTCTAGAATGAAATCAAGCCATAATTTTCCAAACTTTCATTTTTTATGACTTAAAAGTCATTATATAATTTTTAATATTGTTCTGTAACTAAATTAATTTATATTTGTGCCAATAATAACCTAGAGTAATATCATTTATGTAAATATATTTTTCACACTCTCTGATGGTATTAGGCAGTAGGTTATGAGAACAGTATTAAAAAACTTTATAATTGTGTGTATTGTTTTACTTTCTTGAAAGAAACTACTCTCTTTAAAAAATTATAGAATGCTGAGAGGTTTTGCATTATTGCATATCAAATGTGGCTATTTTCAAATGCTATCATATGATATACTTTTCAAAATGCAAAATTATGTTATGGACTATTTCTATGAAATTTATCATAATTTTAATAGATGCTAAAAAGTTATTTTTAAACTTTTGGAGTAATATGTATAAAATGAAACATGGAAATTCATTTGTGAGTCTAATTTTCTTGTTAACATTATAATCAATATCTTGTAGTTGAAATGCATGTAATCCTTTGTTAGATTATCTTTTGAAAAGCTTTCATCTTCATATATGGTAAGTAAATTATAAACAGTAGCTTTCCTTTATCATCACTTTCACTTTTCTTTTATCAAGTGACACATGTAAAGTGATGATAAAGGGAATGGTAGTACCTTTCCTTTATCATCACTTTACATCTGTCACTTGTGGGGGTATCATATTAAACTTAATTAAGCTTCTAATTTTGAAATGACTTAAGGATGGGGTGTTTGTTAACATTTAAAATAGAGTAAGCTTCAAAAATAATAAACATCAACCTTACTGCCAATATTCAATTTATGCCAACTGAAAGTTTTTTGTTTTTTTCAGAAAGTCTGATAGTTTATTTTGTAAGTGATATTTTTAAAATATCATTATTAAATCTCTGTAATGATATAATTATAGAAAGAGTTCTTCAAGTTTTAAAATTTAGAGGCACATAGTAAGTACTTTAGTAACTGAATTTGAACTGCTGGGTTTATATAATCACTTCTTCATGAAACATTCTATACTTATTATTTTGATCTAGGTCATATTCCTGATACTGACCTTGGACCAGTGATTTCCCCAGAAGCTAAGCGAAGAATATGTGATCTTGTTGAATCTGGAGTAAAAGAAGGGGCTCATTTAGTCCTTGATGGACGATCTATTGTTGTTCCTGGTTTTGAGAAGGGGAATTTTGTAGGACCCACCATTCTTACAAATGTGAAGGTTGGTGCAGACTATTTTTATCTCAATAATATCCTTTACATGTTTTTATCTAGGGAAATTTACTGTTTCTTCATTTATTTCATTCATACAGTCTGTAGTATACTTAAAAAATAGCACCACACCCAACATCTGTAGTACAATGTAAAAATTGTGCAAACTTACCGCTAAATTTTATCTCATTAACTTTCATGTATGAAATGTATTGTTGAAAATATATGTATTAGTTATTATTAATTTGTTTTTTTTTATACAATCTTAATACCAAATGATTTTTCGAAGAATAAATTAAAAAATGTCAGATGTTCAATTTTTGAATGATTTCCATTAGGGCTGTAACTAGATTTGAGGCCCATGGGCAACATATGATAATGGGACTGCCTTCTGTATTGTTTCTCCTATCTTTAACCACTTCTTTTTTTCAAGTTATGGTTGATCATATTTTAATAATTAAAGTAGCTTTATACATTTTAATTGAATGAATTTTTTTAAATAAATGTCTCATTTCTGTGTGCTATTATATTTCATTTTTTATTCTTGTTTAATCCTATTATATCAAAAAGAATATGATCTCTGATGCTATTTGATGTCATACAAAGCATAATATGAAAGAAACATATGCAGCATATTTAAAATAAAATGTTTACTAGCAAATCATTCAGTGCATGTTATTATTCAGTACATGCTGCCAAATTATTCAGTGCATGTTATTATTCAGTACATGCTGCCAAATTATTCAGTACATGTTATTTTACGTCTTGGAATTCTAGTCTTTTTTTAATGCTATTTTAATTTTTGCAAATTATTCACTACATGTTATCAGGGTTGCCACGCTACCTGGAAAACCGGGAAAAGTCAGGGACGGGAAAAAAGTCAGGGAATTTAAATTGACCAAAAATTGGAAAAGTCAGGAAGTTCATACAATGATCCCAAAAAAAGCTATTTTTGCACCGATGTCGGAAGAGATAACTTTTTTGGCGACTTGCGTATCACGTGAGTCATTCGGGCAGCTGGCATAGAGCCAATTTTCGCAGCTCCAATTTGATTTTGATTGTCTTTAGAAGGCAAAGCAAGTTTCCCGCAACTTTGGTTTCCAGTATTCCGAGAATCGATGTGCAGTGCAACTAAAGAAAGTACCTGTTTCATATAAAACAATGGGGTTTAATCTTAGTATATACGGTACCATGGTTAGAATAAAGAATATGTATTGTAAAGAAGGAAACCTCTCTGCAACAGACATGGCTCCGTTCATCATAGGAAACTCTGTGCATGCGTGATATATCTTCTGCCAAAGCTCGAACGGTCGAAGTTCGAAGTCACGTTATCAGAGTCCATTAAATGAATATCCTTTAAAATTTCTTTAACCACTTGCGCTAAAGAGTGCCACGCACGTCGAGATGTTTTTGTCTCAAACTGCGAGCGACGTGAACACCACGTCGATAGCATTTTCGCAAAATGAAATACATGGTGCAGACGTCGCCTAACACGAGATTGTTATTTCTCGAGGTTACCAGCTCTGGATTGCACTCGCAGATGCGGAGCGGCGTAATGAGACCTTACCGTTGCTATATTGTAGCGCCGGCACCGCAAACCGTGAAGTTTAGTCTAGCGCAAGTGGTTAAACTCTAAAGGAAAAGAAAATATTTTTTGGCGCAAGAAATAATTCATGGGTTAGTAATTTTCAGAGGGGGGGAACTACGAAAATCCGTTTTTTTTAAAATTATTGCGAAAAAATCTACAAGAGAAACGTCCTTTGATAAAACCTTTCTTCTTGGTTTTCGCAATAATTTAAAAACGGATTTTCGTAGCTTTCTTTTTGTCAAAGAACGTTTCTTCTTAACACGTTTCTCAATTTCCGGTACACATCGCGAAGAGGGAAATTCTGGCCGCCAGGTTTTCCGTCGCCAAACCCTTGGCAAATTTTCCCTCCGCATTCTAGCGGCGTAATAGCGTTTTACTTGTATGGAACCTTTTTTCTTTACATAGACAAAAGATTAGAGATTCTTTGCATAGACGTTCTTTGGTTAGAATAATCTCCATGTATGGTACAATGGGATTTGGCGACATGATGATGCGCAGTAAACGGGTCATTTTGGTCTCGGCGACAATTTTCAAAAATCGTGCCAAAGCCTTACCGTATACTAGAATTTTACCGCAAAATCTTTTTAACTTTTTAAACTTTTTTTTTTTTTTTTTTTTTTTAAATAATACCTTGCCATTTTGCAGAAATAAAAAAATAGAGTAATCTGTCATCTAGGCTAACCATGTAATATAACTATATTCGCTAAAATATCGTTGATTATTCTAATTCAATTTTTAAGTAATTATCTTTATTTTTATGTTATTCGTATAATTAATGATGCTTCTTCCTTCTAAATTTATTTATTATTAGTAAATAATATTTCCAAATTTCAGGAAATTTTCTCTCTGGCATAATCTTGAAATTAATTCTAGCAGTATGATGACATCCATCACGAAATTTAATGCACATATTTTTTCCTTATGTATGCTGCGAAATAAATATAAAATACCTCAATTTATTAAAAATAGATTTCTTTCTTTCGTTTAGCTGTAGAATGTCTGCAAAAAAAGCCTTATTTTATTCCAGATTGGAAAGATTCTAATCTCAATCTTCAGTGGAGAAAACAACAACTATTATAATTATATTTGTGTTTTCAAGTGTTAAGGTGCTTTTTAAGAACATACCTCACACAAATTAAATTTACCTAAAATCTAACCTAACTATTTAGCATTGCGTTGTGATTTATAAGGACCAGATTAGCCTTGTGTTGAACTGGTGATGATCATGAGTAATAATTGAATAAAACATACATTTGTTATCCAATTTATATATCTTAAATTTTATTAAGTTTCTTAAGTGGAAAAGTAAACAAAATTATCAAACAAAGTATACCAAGAATAATTAAGAATAAATGTCCTCTGGGATTTACTGAATAATTAAGTGAATTTGCTACACAATACAAGTAATACCATAATTAATTTGCCTCTTAGTGTAGCCAAAGTACATTACGCGAATAGACTGGAATTTTCTTGAAACACACCTGGAAAACCTGGAAAAGTCAGGGAATTTCATTCTCCTGTTTGAGTGGCAACCCTGTGTTATGTTATTCAGTACATGTTATTTTATGTCTTGAACTACTAGTCTTTTTTTTCCCCTAATTATTAAGGAAACAAACTTGTTAATTATTTTAACAAAATTAATATAGTGTCTGAATTATTATCAAGTGAGAGCATAGTTAAACCAGTGAGCTTATTGAGTCCCATACTGCTTTGCAAATTGTTTTTTTTTATTAATTTCAGTTTTGAGAATGATTGTTCACCATAGAAGCAGTTAAGTACATGCATGCTGTGCATACGTAAGGAAAACTCGATGTGTGATTTATTATCAATAATTTTGCTAATCCTTTTAGACTAATATGTTTTAAGTTGTTCTTTAAAAAAACATCTTAGCTAAAGATAATTGGTATAGAAATGTCAATGACACATCCTCTCAAACTTTTGCAGCAAATCATCTGCTTTGCGATGGATCTCTCATTTTCTGTTATAAGAAATTTGAGTTGAATTACTTGTGTCAGGAATATTCTTCAAAGGAGATGATGACAAAGTTGGGAGCAAAAGTATCTATCATTGGGTAAAACATAGTTATCCTTAAATAAGGTTCTGGATCTTTTAATCAGTCATCTTTGCATAATTCATCATAATGTTTTGTTTTTGTAACCCTGCTTCAGCAAAACTCTTTCATTATTCTCTAAGCCTTGATCTGTGAAGCGATGGATACCAGATCTCTAAAGTTTCTTCACATTTCAAGCATTCTGCAGTAATTCATATGCTGATAGTAGATCTACGGTTTCAGATTGCAGAAAACTTTAGGAATCTTAAAACTTTGCATTGTACAACTACGAATAAATTGAAGTCAGTTTTTTTTTTCTTTAGTTGTATCTCTATATTCCTTTCCTTGCTTTTTTGACTACTCAGAATCATGCAGTTGATACACTTCATCACATCACCAAATTTATGGTTAAACTCATACATTGCACTGCCATTCCAGTGAATTAGGTTGTAATTTATTTTTTAAAATTAAACTTTTGTTTCTTAGTCTTAAATTTATAACTTTTTTTTATTATTATTTTATTTTCCTGGAGCCTGTGGGAAGTGCACACAGAACACAGTTTAGGAACCTCTACTTTATGAGTTGAAAGCAAAGTATTTCATACTTTTACATACTGAAATCAATGAGATATGCAAGAATCAGCTTAAATTCTTTCCCCATAATTGTTACTGCTTAAATTCAAGTGGAGAACGGATTTAAACATTTAAAAAAACAGATTTGCTTTTGTGGCTAATTATAGTTCCACATGTAACTCAACAGCTTTCTCAAGTGCGTGATCACAGCAAAACAGAGTTCAGAAAATGGTAAATGGCAACAGTAAGAAAAGTTTGAAAGAAAAGGATTTTAGAAAAACAGTAACTGACAAAATATGTAGGTATAAACAGTATTTTAGAGATGTTGAAGAGGACTCAATGAAGGATAAGTATCAATGATGGGACAGAAGTCCCCTATATGTTTTGTATTTTGGCTGTAGGTTTTTACATGATTGGTAATTCATTCTTTTCATAATGTGAATAATAAAATGTGAATGCACTTAGTAATAAAGTTTTCTATTATAACACCATTACACATACCTTCAGTGTTATGTTGGTTTTAAAGGAGAAGAATAAAATATTTAAGAATTTAACAATGCTTAGATTTATGGCACCCTGGTTATACACAGCGTTTGTTACTATTTTTAATTAGCCTCTTAAAAATATCTTTGTGGATTTTTTACAATAACCTATAAAATTTTCATGCTTTTAAAAAAATTATTAATAGTTAGAGTGGTTTTAGTATGGGGTCACATAGAAAATTCGGATTTTATTTTTGCATAATAAAACCAATTTTTATTTGTCAGATGTGCTGAAGTGCTCTGATAAAATTTCCTGCTTTATTTCAAGAAATTTTGCAGTCGGAAATATATGCCTATAATTCAATATTTAAGGGAAAACATGGATTGACCTTTTTTTTTTTAGTCATTATATCTATGAATTTGAATTGATATTGGATTTTGATTTTGTTTCAATACAGTTTTCTTGAAATTTTGTCCTTATGCATATCAAATTATCAATATGTTTGTAATTAAGTATCTTCATTTAAATGTTTGCTAAAATGCCAATCTTTTATTTTTATTTATTTATGTATTTATTTGAATAGGGATTTATTTATAATGAATAATATGAATATAATCAGATTGCTTATATTCTTTAAATAATGTTTATTGCTTGTAATTATTTTTTTGTTTTGTGTTTTCATTATGGAACTTTGATTAGATATGTCAGTGTGTTGTTATTACTCACTTTGCAGCCTAGTATGACTTGTTACAAAGAAGAAATTTTTGGACCTGTTTTAATAACTATAAATACAGATAGTATTGATGAAGCTATAAAACTGATTAATGCCAATCCATATGGAAATGGTACAGCTGTGTTTACAACAAATGGTGCCACTGCAAGAAAGTTTGTCCAAGAAATAGATGTTGGTCAGGTATGAATGAATGAAGCTTATGTTTAACTATTAAATTAGCCATCTTTTATATTAATCACTTAATTGCTAATTCTTTATCAAATGCCTTAGAACATTACTTAGGTTAAAATTGAATTCTGATGCAGGTAAATGAACAGTATTCAAGTTTTTCATTACTTTGATTTATAACTAAGTCTACAAGAGGAGGTTTATTTGCTGTATTACAGTTATACACATATCATATGAAATGCTCAGGGGATTGGGTATTGGAGTTTATTTGTTAAATTAAGTTGTAAAAATTGTAAAATTAAATTAAAATTGACCATAATAAATAAATGAATAAATAAAAGTCTGAAAGGTTTCAGATTTTAACAATTGTCCAAAAGGGCTCTTTTTAAAGTTTAAATGTGATTTATCAGTAAAAATTGTCAGTACAGATGGTCCAGGTGGAAAAACGAAACATTTTATAGGATATTAAATGAATATGCATTTAGACTAGCATGGGAACATTATACATCTTCTGTATATTTAAAAAGTGAAAAATATGTAATTTAATCTTATAAAAATACCAAATGTTTTTAATTTGATACATCAGGAATTAAATGGATTTTCTTTTTAAATCAATCTTATTAAGAAGTAAAAAAAAAAATAATAAGGACTACACTATTGCTTTTAAGTATTTTAGTTTGCTGATTAATAATGGATAGATTAAATATAAAAAAATAATATTTTATATTTTTTCGAATGCAACAAACTCAAATAAAAAGTGAAACAGTGCAAAATCATGTTTCGAGACCAATAGCCCTTTTGGGCTAAAAATAAATATTGTTAGAACTTCATTTGAGAGCTTAAAATTATGTAAGTTTTTTAAATCCAAATTTAGGCTTTTACCTAGTAGACGATAGTTGGATTTCAGTTGAAATACTTCAATAATTACCTATTTTATAGCCTTGGAAAAAAAGATATTTTCTCCTGTTATTTGCTTTTATATATGTTTTTAACTGTTTGTTTCAGGTTGGCGTAAATGTCCCTATACCTGTACCTCTGCCTATGTTTTCATTTACTGGATCTAGAGGTTCTTTTCTAGGTGATGCCAATTTTTATGGAAAAGCTGTAAGTATATTATTGCTATTATTTCATTTGTGAGTTTGTATGCCAGAAGTTTGATGTACTGCAAAGCTACGAGAAGATTATGATATAAGATAGGCAGTATAATTTCTATAATGGTATTTTGTTTGTTATAATCTGTTAGTGTTTAAACATTTGATATATATTTTAAAGAAACTTAAATTCATATTTTTATATTGAAATACTTGTTACAGAATAATGATTGTAAATGACAAGTTTTCTTATTAAACTCTGTATCAGAGTACTTACCCCTTGTCTTATGATCTGAATTGTAAGAGCACCTGTCATAAACACCTACGAGGTCAGGCATAGGTTGTTCCATTTGACGATTTGGCTGAGCATTTGAAGAAGAAACTACTCCAATGTCAATTATGTCCAAATACTGTACACTTTTCTGAAAGATTTATGGTATCTGGCTATGTTATAGAACTTCCAAACATTAGTTAGCTACATTAGTGAACTGCCAGTTATATTACTGAATTGCTGAACTGGAAGAATTATTTCACCCAAAATAATGAAATAGACAGTTTTATTGTAATATTTCATCATTGTATTTATTTCTGAGCTACAAAATCCTAAGAATTTTCTTTTATCAAGTAAGGCAACATTACAGTTGGTGGTTTTAAATGTACTTTGGCCATTTGAAAACTATCTGTGAAAAAACAAGCAAATTGTGTTCTTGTCCTTATGTAAAAGCTTGAGTAAAGTAAAACTAATTTTATTGTACATGATGTTTGATAAATGATTACTACCAATTAATCATTGAACAAAAAATATTTTGAACTGAAACTAATATGGGTTTCATTTTGCATAATTTATTTATATTGTTAGCCAAATTGTCTCTTTTTGGGAGGTAGGGAATATCAGAGTTTTTGCAGCTGCCTTCTTAGATGAATACATTTAAACTATTAGTTTCTTAACTTTATCCATCATTAGATTACCATGCAAAAATATGTTTTCACTGTGTACAGAAAATTAAGTTTTGTCTATTTTCTGTCTTTTATTTAATTGTTTACTATGTGGATTGCATATCAATGCATCTCCATGACAGTATATTTCCCAAAATGTATGATCAAATATTATATTCCAAATGTATAACTCTTTTTTTTTTTTTTTTTTCACCTAACTGACCTGTAAATACCATTTTTATTACAGTGATCTCCGTGATTTTTGATTCATTAGTTTTCCCCCTAAAATCCATAGCTTTGTTGATGATTACTGTGGTCTTCTTCATTGGTATTATCTTCACTAACCAGTCACTTACAGTGTTTTTGTGTAGGAAGTAAAATATCACTACTATCACTACTTAAAATAGCTATTAAATCATTTTTAAGATGTTAGCAAAAGCTTAATATTCTTTTCAAAGACACTTTCAAGGGTATCTAATACCCAAGAAAATATATTTGCACATCCAAATGCAGCCAGGAAAATCATTAAATGTTTGTCACATGTAGCCCAAATGATGTACCATATCTTTTACATGTGGTATTTATTTTTGCTTTGATCACCTTACCACATCTTTCACATGTTGTGTTTACTTTAGACCTGATTGACTTACTGTTTGTCTTACACAGCACTGTAAACCAAGGAGTTAATATGATAATTATGCTAAGACCTTTAGCAAAAATCTCTGTTTATATAATTATTGTAAACGAATTTTAAGTCTCATTTTAAACAGTATGATTGCAAGTCATTAAGCTGTACAAAAAACTATAAAGATTTGCTATTCTATTTGGTATGATGTTTAGTGCTGTCACTTGCCTTGCCCTTTAGGTTAGGCTTAAGGCAGCTTAGATAATCATAGTTGTGTAACTTCCCTTCTCACAGGTGTAATATCAATCTACCCCCTGTGAAATACTCTAGACAAGATTCTTGATAATGAGATGGCTAATGATCAATGAGGTTGTCCATTTCTGCCTTATGTTTAATAAGCAAATGCTTAGCCATTAAAAAAGCTATAAATATTTTAAATATGATATTGCACATTAATAAAAAAGTAAGAACAGTGTACAAAATAGAATTTTTAAATAACTAGTCATATTCTTTTGAAGGAAAGAAAGACTAATTTTACTTATTTTTGTTTTTGTATAAGACGAGTTCATAGCAGTTGAGTGTTCAAACTTTAACTCTTTTACATTCTTTATTTGTAAAAGAATATTTTTTTTTTACTTTTATTTAATAATTATAGCTAATTAATATTAAATCAAAATATCTGTTCATTAGAAAGTGATATAGTTTGTTGATTTGATAAGATAAGTAAATATTAATGGTACGTAAAATAACAAGCAGCTTGTAATGTATTACAAAATTTTTACGTTTATGGTTAAGATTATTTCTGTGATATTATTTTTCATTGCAGAACCTGAAAAATACTTTTACCATTCCATATGACATACATGTTTTAGAATATTATTGAGGACAAATAATGAGTAATTTTTAGGCAAAGATATATGAATTTTTTTAATACAATCTTAACTTTAAAACTTACATTGTATTTAGCTTTTATTTTTAGTATTTTTTTCTTAAGTTTGGACTTTCAAAACATCTGCTAATACATTTTTCAAGAGCTAATATTAAATGCTCAAAACTTAACTAATATTTATAACTTTATTTCCACAGGGTGTCAACTTTTATACACAACTGAAAACAGTAACCCAGTTGTGGCGTGAGCAAGATTCTTCACATTCCAAAGCTGCTACTAGCATGCCAGTAATGAAATAAGAGAAACTGTGTCAAATCCTTAAGAAAGTCTTCGATATTTTAATAATAAAATGTTAAGCGTATTTGTTACTGAAAGATTACAAAAATTTATAAAAAGCTCTTTGTATCTGCTTTAAAATAAACTATTTGTTTAATGTGGGTTTGATAATTTTAGGTAACTATAGTTTCTCATTATTTAAGAAGTATATGAAAATTGTTGCTTTTGAGTGTAATGGTACCACATAAAACAGAAGAACTTATTTTAAATATGTCAAAATTATAATATCTAATTAAATTCTTTTTTACTGTATATTCTTTGTTCATAAAACACATTTAAATGTTTAAATTTGTTGAAATAATGAACTTCTAGAACACTTTAGTTTAAAGAGAAAATGTTTAGTTTTCAGATGATGTCCTGATAAAAGCATTACTAAAAGGTATAATTTTAAAGTGTTCATTAAAATTTTAATTTAATTTTCTTAAACATTTTGTGAATTGTTAATATTAAAATAATAAGTATATGTTTATGATTTTTATTTTAATATTAAATATTGCTATAGGAGTCCAATTAAAAAAAATACAAAGTAAGAAAAATAAAATTTCCTGTGTGAATAATTGAAGTTTTGCACAATTTTTAATCATCCAAAATATAATAGTGAAATTTTGCCAGATGTGTGTTATAGAATGGCTTCTTCTATTCTAGTGAAAAAGTTTTTATAGATTTGAATGTATTGCATTCTAAATGCTGATGTTAGTGGCTATTTTTGTCATTTTCTTGTTTTTATAAGTGACACAGATAATGCTTTGCAAATTTGGCAATTGTCTCACAAAGTTTTATTAGAATCTTAACATTTTATATAGGGTGGATAAATGATTTTTGGTTAGTACTCATTGAATGTATTAGAAAGTTTTTCTGTGTAAATCAAACTTTTCTTGTTGTTTTTAAATTGTCATTACTCATTGAGTCAGAACAGCTATCTGGGGAAGTATGGAGAAGTAAAAACAGGTTGTGCAAATCAAGACCTTTTCACATCATGTAAGGATATAATGTAATTTAACAGTGCAAGTTGACTGGATACTTTCATTTACCCAGCTTTATTGCTTGGTAAATTTGGAATAAAGAATCCCATTAATTCTTTGATCAAACTATTTTTAAAGAATCGTATAGTAAAAAGAGTTTGAAGAAGTGATACTATTTTGATAAGACATTTTAATGCAAAAATTTTAAGATGCGATAAGTAGGACAGAGTAAAATGGTCTTACAACACGATCTTTAAAAAGAATAGTATTTTAATTGTGGTGTTGAGCTTATGAAATGGCATGCTATTTGCAAATTCAATAGTAACATGATTGTGCATTTGTAAATAAATTCTTTAAATACACCCAACTACCTATTAAATTCAGAAAAATAAAGAGCAACATCCACAGGTAATTCAAAATGTTGGTTAATCCAACAGAAGTTAAAAAAATATAGGAAGGAGGAATAACCCCCATTATTATTAATAAAAAAGTACTTTTAGCAATTTACCTATATCTTGAAGCAGTTTAATGTGAGGAATAAGTCATTCGGTATGAGGCCCATGAATAAAATTGCTCGCGAAAGCATACCTTTTCTTAGGCAGATAGCCCTAGTGAGCTAAAGTAAACCAAACCAATATTTTTTTATGCAAATTTAATCAGTATTTAGAGTAAAACAAAAAAAAAAAAAAAAAAAAAAACCGTCATGAGATGTAAAGGAACTAAATTTTAAAGGGTATTAAATAAAAGTATTTGCAGAAGAACTTGAACAACGTTATTGAACTGGCATAAAAAACCAGTAGATGCCTGATTGACTGAAACAATTTTGGGTATTAGTTATACAGCTAATTTGAAGGCACTTAAAAGTAAAAATAAAGCAGGAAAAAGGAATAACCAGTACTGTATTTAATAATAAAATACTATCAAGAATTAAGACACAATAACACGCCGAATAAATACTAATTCAGAAGTCAAACAACAAAAATCAGTGTTATACCTACAAAATTTTCACAGGACTAGTTTCGATGGTTTTACCAAACCATCATCTTCAGCTGCAAAACAGCAAATGAACAAGATAGGAAATAATGATTAGATAAGATAAGAAAGCCTGGACAAGAATAAGCAAGTGGCGCCATCTGTTGGCAAAACCAGAACTAAAACATAATTTCTCTAAAAGCCGAAGGCAAATTTGGATTGGAATTAGGATCATTTAACTAGAACAGAAAGATTTTTATGAATGTGAAATGCCTCTAGAAAATCCAGTTCTCCAATGGAAGATGTTTTTTGAATAATTTGGCAGCAGAGGAAATTGAAAGTGTGATTTTCGGACCAACAATGTTGAGCAACAGAAAGACCTCTGTGTTTCCTTTTTTCTAACATATGCCTCATGTTCTTTGACGCGAAATTTTAAGGCTCTCTTAGTTTGGCCAATGTAAATTAAACCACACTGGCAAGGAATCCTATAAATACCCCAGGAATTCATATCCGGAATGGGGTCCTTGAAGTATAGAAGTTGGAATTTTATTGATGGGAGAAAAAAAAAACAAACCCGAAGTTAAATTTCTGCAAAATATGTGCAACTTTATAGCTAATTGATGGAAAGAAGGGAATGACAACAGAATTTTTATAATCTTCTAAACTAAGAGTGCTGCTTTTAGTGTGTTGAGATGAGAATTTTTCAACTGCTTGATTAATAATGTTGGGTGAAAAGCCCCTGTCAATAGCTATTGCTTTTAAATAATTTAGTTCTCATCAGGGCTAGTTTGGAGGAGCAAACTTGAAGAGCACGGAAAACATAGGAATAAAATGAAGCTAACTTTTGTTTAGTCGGATGGACATGATTTAAAGTGTGGTGGAAGGCAAACCGATGAAGGTTTACGGTAAACTGTAGTACTGAAGTTGGATGTGTTACATGTGACCAGAATGTCGAGAAAACGGAAGAGAATTGCAAGTCTCAAGTTCAAAAGTGAACTGAATAGCAGGATCAATAGAATTCATTGTTGAAAGAACTTTATTTAAATCATCTTTATTACCTTCAAACAGGGTAAAAGTATCGTCTACGTAGCGGAACCATGCCGAGAAGTTTAAAGTTTCAAACAATTTTGATTCATAATAATGCATGTAGATATCAGCCAGGATGGGACTGAGGGGACTTCCCATGGCTAATCCCTCAGTTTGCTTGTAATATTTATTTTGGAAAACAAAATGTGGTTTGTTTCAAAACAGAGTTGAGTGAGAGAAATTAGCTCATCAATTTCGATGCAAGAGAAATGAAATTCGCGAAGTCTGGTTTCTAGACATCTTAATGCACCCCTCCACTGGGACATTGGTGAATAATGATTTTTACATCAAAAGAAACCATGAGTAAATTACTAGGAGAAATGTTTTTTTAACCTTTTTTTACAAACTCTATTGAATTTTTTTATGGTGTAAATGTTATTGTCTAATAGAGTGGAAAATCTAGAAACTAAATATTTAGTTATGTTTGTTTTGTACATTTGGATATTGTGCTTTGCTTGTCTGATTTCATGCATTTTGCTTACAAACGTTTTGTTTTCTATTCATTTCAGTGAGGGATTTTTCTGCTGTTTTGTGTGTATTTTATTATTGCTCAGTTAATTTAGTTTGATTTTCTGCATTGTTTATCATGCCTTCATCCGTTAATCGTTTCACTAAATTACGCCCTGAAACGGCAAAAATTCCTGAATCATCTTGACTTTTTACTAAATGTAAATGGAAAAAAATTGATCCCCAATTTTATTCCAAATCAAATCTAATCAAAAACTTCGAGTCGGTTTTCAAGAATTCTGTTAAATTGCAAGCTTGGCCTTACTTCGGTCCGTGATAAGGGATACACGTCAACAATTGTCCAAAGTTGAACATGAACTCTATAAGCTTCATCTGGAACTCGCTAAATCATATCCAAAATTCACTGGCCTTGAGCAAAAGTCTTGGTCTAGAACGGGATGCAGTTAACCATCATAAAAACACCCTTGCAGTTAAATTCGAAAACTTCTTTTAAGTTCTTTCCAGTTCAAGTAGTTCAAAAAATCTTCCCATTGTAAAAACATCAAAACCAATAGTTAATATTTCTAATGTTAGTCTTTCAGAAGACAAGAGAGAATTCTAAATATAATTTTAACTTCTCACAAACCTGTAAACCCTCGATTCCAAGATTTTGGCTCCTATCGAAAAAGCTTTCAAGTTCAGTAAAGTTTCAGATTCACAGAAAGAAATGATTAGGCATCTTATCGCTCATAATGTGAAATTCAATAATAAACCTTTGGAAACCAAATCTAAACTGCGAGAGAAAGAGCTACAATGCGCGAAATTCATTCTAACCGGATATTATCATTTCAAAGGCCGACAAAGGTGGCCAGATAGTCATCATGGATTACATCGATGGTGTCACTAAACTCTTAAACGAAGGACCATATAATCCGATCCCTAAAGATCCTTCACCTTCGGACTTATCCAAAATAAAAACTGCGATCAAATCTTCGCAAATCATTTCAAGCAACTTAAAACATTCGCTTATTCATCTGTTGCGAATTGTGCCAGATTATATGCCTTCCCAAAATTCATAAAAGTGGTATTCCTTTCCGCCCTATTGTATCAAAATTTAGGTACTGCCTCGTATCCTTTAGCTAAATATTTAGTTTCTAGATTTTCCACTCTATTAGACAATACATTTACACCATAAAAATTCAATAGAGTTTGTAAAAAAAAGGTTAAAAACATTTCTCCTAGTAATTTACTCATGGTTTCTTTTGATGTAAAATCATTATTCACCAATGACCCAGTGGAGGGTGCATTAAGATGTCTAGAAACCAGACTTCGCGAATTTCATTTCTCTTGCATCGAAATTGATGAGCTAATTTCTCTCACTCAACTCTGTTTGAAACAAAACACATTTGTTTTCCAAAATAAATATTACAAGCAAACTGAGGATTAGCCATGGGAAGTCCCCTCAGTCCCATCCTGGCTGATATCTACATGCATTATTATGAATCAAAATTGTTTGAAACTTTAAACTTCTCGGCATGGTTCCGCTACGTAGACGATACTTTACCCTGTTTGAAGGTAATAAAGATGATTTAAATAAAGTTCTTTCAACAATGAATTCTATTGGATCCTG